AAAAGCCTTTACAGGTTATCAGTTTAGAGTTCTATGTGAGCTATGGCACTACAATTCTGGTTCTGGCCTTCGTGGGGATACCTCATGTGTGGTGAAAAGTCGCTGTTTGCATGTGTGTTCTGGACCTATATTGGCATGCAAGCACGAGGGGACAGGGGTGCTTTTAAATCATTTTATGTACATTTTTAAAACCACTCTTTCATTTAGCTTTATTGTTATCACAAGGGGTGAACAGTGATAGCTTTAGGCTGTGGTGGGTATTTGTTATTGAGACATCAGGGGGTCTATTAGACACCCCCCCCCCCCCCCCCACATTTCCCATGCCCTTTAAAAAACATCTGATCAAACACAGATCATGTGTACCAGCCAGGTAAAGACAACACTGAAATCTGGGAGTGATGACATCCTTGTCACTTCCAGAATCATTCATCACTGAGGAGATCCTACACCCCCCCCCCCCCCCCCCCCCGATCCCCCTTCCTTGGTCCTTGCTGTACTTATCTCTGTGGGTGGTGAGTTGTCAGTGTAGCAGTTTGGGTATTTGCAATCCCTGCTCTACTCCCTCTTATTTCTGCAGGGCTTCCAGGATGGATCAGAGTGATTATGATTGGTCAGAAACGCTGTGATCCATCCTTGAAGCCCTAAAGAAAACAAAAGGGGAAGACGACCAGGAATTTAAAATCCCCAGACTGCAACACCAGCTGTGTGGGCATGGCCAGCTCCTCATCCAGGGAGGTAAGTACAACAACAGGGAGTGGAAAGCTGTTGGTAAGGGTTACATGTATATGAGCAAAAAAACTATAAGAAGTCAAACTGAAAACTAGTAAAACTAAATTTGTATTTGGGATGTTGACCAATTCCCATTGACTTGTATAAACAACAAACAATGATGAGGAATCTGATAGGGATTGATTTGCCAAAGGACCAGCTAATCTGGTTTGAAGTTTGTCAAATTCAAATTTTGCAGCAAATCCCATGGAAGACAATAGGAGGCAAATCCTGCTGTTTAGATCTGATCATTTTGGGGACTATTAGGCAAACTATTGTCAATAAGAACCTGGGGAGCTGGGTTCTGTCGTGGTGAACCTTATCCCTAAGAATAAACAATATTGCAAAAAACAGCAATAGCCCTGAATACAACCCGATAAGTTCCAATAAAAACTCCAACATGGAGTTCCAGTTACTTGAATGATTCACCAACACATCAGAAGTAAAAAACGTAAACATCCATAAATACGGACCCTTTAGCCAGGCAGGCACACACTACATTCTGTGTCCAATTTAGATCTAGTTACCAACCCCCCCAGCTTCAAAAACACGATTTAATATTGTTCATAGACTATATTTAGAAATCTAAGCAGCTTTGCCATTAAAAGCCATGGAACGGTATTCTGGCTAGCTGCAGTCACCCATATTAGATCACTGCGATTCTCTCACAGCAAATATACAGACAAAGGGAGAACTGCATTTAGAAGACCCATATTTGTGAATTTCCTAATTTCTTAACAGAGTTCATCTACTAGTACAAAACTAATCACAAAGTATTATTTTACTGAAAGAATAGTGGATGCTTAGAATAATCTTTCAGCAGAGGTAGTGAGCCAGTCAACAGTAAATAGCTTCAAACATGCTTGCGACAAACAAATCTATAAGCAGACAAAAAGTTAAGTGGAGGACATACTCGATGGACCACTCAGTCTCATTCTGCCATCACTTTTCAATGTTTATGTATATGCCCTGTAAACAGTTGTGAGTCAGGGTATACCTCTATTTGTGGTTCCACCCCAATTATAAAAGCATCTATAGTCTTGTACAGGGGCGGACAACTCATGGGGTCCCTGGGCAATAGGAGATCATGGGGCCCCTGTGTCTTTGCCCACACTCAAACCACACCCAAAAAAGCCTATGAAAAGGTACCAAAAGAATCTCATGGGGCCCCCTGACTCCAGGCCCTCGGGCAGTGCCCAAGTGCTTGAATGGTCAGTCCGCCCCTGGTCTTGTAAGATACTAGTGTCATTACTGGAAGTTAAAAAACACCTACATACAGAGACCTGGCTGATCTATTACATGTACATAAGCATTCTTTGTGTGGTCTTATTGTGGTTATATTTGTTCAAAAAATTCCTATTTATTTTTTTATTTAAAAAGGGTAACTCCACTTTCATTGAAAAAAAAAATGTGCCAATAAACAAATATAGCGTATACAATTGCAACTCAAATCATACCGTAATTGAAAGTAAAAAAAAAAAAAAAAAAACACCTTTCCTTTTCAATCTGCAGCGCTGTACTTTTCTGTAAAATGCAATATGGCAGTCTGAAGGTGTTCTGTACACAGATTGTGTACAGATCACCCCCTGGAAATTAAATTTCTTGCTTGTGCGATTGGATCACTGATTTTCCCAGAAGTCTGAACTAAGATGCAAGTCAAATTTTTTGCTTCCCCTGCAACAAAAATGTCATTTTTGGTGACCTTCTCCCAAAGGGAAGCAGACCCTGCCACTTTCCTGCAGGTGCAGCATCTGATGGCCAACTATAAAGTCACTCCCATACAGATTCACTCTGGACATGGACACAGACAAACTGCTACCTTTTTGTTATTCTGACAAAATCACTATCTGCAATACCATTTGTTAAAATCCTTGCAATGCACATAGATCACCCACAGGGGAATGTTTTTTTTCTCACCAAAAAGTGGAATAACTCTTTAATAATGTACTACAAAATGTCAAATAATTGTACTTAATTTTACTGAAGTCAAATAAAAAGCATGGGTGGTGATAGGCTACCATGCATGTGTTTTGACTGATTTGATTGTGTTAAGAACTATGGCTTCAATGTCATCAGATGACTTCCAAAACCCAGCAGAGACCTCTGCACAGCAGTCCTGAAGTCTAGATCTAGAAAAACGTTGGCCAGAATATCAATTTAGATGACCCTTTAAAAAGAGTCAGTTTACCTAAGTGTTTGGTAAATGCTGGAGTTTTAGGCCTCATTAAAGCAGACCTTTGCCCTCTCAAAGCACTTTCCCCTCCTCTTCATCCAGTCCCCCCCTCCACAGCGCTGATATCGGATTCTTTTTTGCTTTGTTTACTTACCGGGTTTTTTTTTGCTTGAAAGGCTTGTTCCATCCCCAACTTCCAGCATTCACATAGGTGAATAACTCTGTGCCCCCTGTGCCTCCTTAGTTGCATGCAGTCCCATTAGGAAAGGGGGGGGGGTGAGCCTAGTGGCGCCTGCATCCAGACGAGCCAGCAGCTGTGACAAGCTGATAATAACCGCAGTGGCTTTGGATGTATTCAAACATGGTGAGATTACATGTAGTTAGGAACAGAAAATCTCTTGGATGCAAACTGCTTGTGCCTTGAGGAGGTCATCTGTCCCTAACCACAGTACCCACTCCATGTGCAACTACATCTGAATTCCACCAGACGCCTGCAGCCGCTGTCATTGCTTTGTACGGGCTGAGCACCTCCACCTATCTGCATCCACCTGTGAATCAAGCTGCAGGAATACGCTGGATTCTTGACACTTCTCATATAAACCCAGTGTAAATGAAGCCTAACCGTGAACACATCAAAAACAAGTGCAGTGTAAATGAATCCTATGATGAATATAAACACCTTACCTTCAGTGGAAATTGCATGCCAGGACCTTCAATAGAGCTACAGATGCAGGCCACAAAACTTATGTAAATCTTGACATTTACTGTAAAAGCTGAACTTGGCCCTGACCCTCTTCTAATGGGCCTTCAATGTGAAGATTGTGGAGACCAGAAAGGTCACATTTAATTATCAATGGAAACGTTAACGGGTAAGGGCACTTTTTCTTTTTCCCCTCGTTTCCTGACCTAACCCACTAACCCTTTCCTGACCTAACTTAAACCATCTTCCCCAGAAACATATGTCTCTCAATCTGGCTTCCATGGCCTCCACTGTTTATTTACTTCCAGCACCACAAGTCTTCAGTGTCCTGGCCTGTGTATAATTGCCCAATAGACTTCTATGGTGCTGTCTCCAAAGGCCAGAGATGTCTATGCACAGGCACCAGAGAAATCTAATGAGCTGTAATGAGCCGGCATGTCCTAGGCACTGAAGACTTTGAATTGTAATTGTATAAAAGAGCATTGAGGTAATTTATGTTTCTGAAAAAACGAGAGGTGGTTAGGCCAAATTGGGGGGGCTCCACAACTTTGGTTAGTCATTATCTTAATGACTAATGTCAGCAGCATATCATCTTTTATGCCAAAGTTTGAAAAACATCTAAATGACGTAGCCATCTTCTGAGGAAATCTAAAAAGGATTTAGTATTAGCAAGTATGGAATCAACTGGCTAACCATTTGTTTATTGTGGACTCTTAATATGTTACTAAAGAACCAGTTGAAGAGCTCAGGCCTTCAATGATGGATCCCACATACATGATTGTATTTCCACTCCTGTATAGTGCTGGTGACATCTATGTTACATGGAGGATGCTGGGGTTAACTACTCAGGTGTCATTAAAAGCATGTGTGACTCAAGCTGGGGTATTGATAGCAGAATCTCCAAAACTACAGAACAGGTCCATTTTATAAAGTCTAATGACGCTTAAGGAAATCTCACACTGAATTAAAGATTTGTATATATTTTTAGATTTCAATATTACTGTCAAAAATACATTATATGATTTTACATAGGCCTTGTGCTACATTAGAACACAAAGACAAACAATCACTGTGTAGTAACTGAAACATTAAATATTAAATAAACAAAATAAAATGTGTAAACACTAAACTAACATGAATTGCTAATGCAGCACACACCTAATCAAGATGTATTATAGTAGAAAAATGGATTAGGACTTTGTTTCCAGTCTACATGAAATACACAGAACATACTGAAGGAAAATCTCTGGGGCTTGTCCATGTCTTTCATCATGTTCATTCACACCAAAGTCTCTGTTCAATATGTAATCAAGTCTTTTCTTCCTTTGAATCTAGCCAGAGATCTTCTTGGCCGTTGGCTCAACATCTGGGTGAAAACTGAGGGTTTGTTGGAGTTTCTATGTAAGATTTCAGTTCATATGCTGCCCCACTGTCAACTTCCATGGACTTCCGAGAAAACAGAAGCCGCACATCTCTATGGAGGTAGATCTTTCCCGACTTAGAACTCTGGAACCTGAATGGCAAATGGAACAATCAGAATCATCAGGCGATGGTCTAGGACAGCCTTTCTTAACATGGAGGAACCCTTGAAATAACTTTCTGGTCTGGGGAACCCCTGCTAATAATTACTACATCTACAACTCATGGTACCTGGGAAGAATACTCTATATTTGCAGTCATTGGGAAGAATCTCTTTACAGATAGCTAAAAAGATCATTGGGGTCAGTGGTTACCCTCTTGAAAGGCAGAAACGTCTCATTGCTTAAGGAATCCCTAGCAATGTCTGGAGGAATCCTAACGTTACAAGGAAAAGCTGGCCTAGAAAGAAAGGGTGAAAATCAAAACTAAGCCCATCTGTTTAGGATTTAGAAAGATTTAGAGGTGCTTGTGACTTCCAGGCTCTGACCTGCGTCTTCACCATCCTCTCAACAAGATCACAGCCGTAGTCATCAAAAAGAGGATATGACACCCACCACAGACATTAAAAAGGGACCTGTTTAAATGACCTGCATTGTCCTCACAGCACACTCTGTAGATTACTGGAAATACTCAACACTGCACATTTTTATTTATAAAATGCAGAGCACAGTGGTGCACTTCCAATATCCTCTGGTGTGTTCTCTGCATAATGTCTTAAAGGCGAAGTTCACCTCTCTGAACATGTTACACTTGTATTATGGTGTAGCATGTAACATGTTTACTATGCACCCCCCATCCCCAGCTTCCTCCCTCCCCACATGGCTGCGTCATTCATTTACAGTTTGCTGTGACTAAATAGACTACAAGTACTATCAGCAATTGTGGTTGACTGCTTGTAGTTCTCAATGAAATACGAGGGTGCCTGGTGAGCACTCTTAGTTCATTGATCTTCCTGCACTTCAGTAACTGCCTGCTTGTACGGAAGGTACAGGCAGACGGCTATCCAGAGAATCTGCTGGAGCCTGAGATTGCACCTGCGATCTGCTGATTACATACATAAAGATGTGCATTTATTTTTCAGAAGATTAACTTTAAACAGGTCTCATGAAGGTTTCTTCCTCCTCCCTTCACACCCCCATGCTCTGGTGCATTATGTTAATAGTTATTGCATTAAGGGAGGCTATTTATTTTGTTGCAAGAAAAATAAACACAAAAAAAACAAAAAAAAAAAAAGTCGGACTTTGCGTCCAGCACAAAAAAACCCCCGTCTCCAGCTGGGCTTAGGAGTGGATTCCCGCTGTCACTGACAACCAGTTGTTCCAGTGATGAACCCCACAGTTTATATAACAGTAGCTAGTAGTAATTCCTCCTAGAGTGTAAGCTCCAAGGAGCAGGGACCTCCTATCCCGCTTGTATTGAACTGTATTGTTGCTCTCCCGTTATATTGTAAAGTGCTGAGCAAACTCTTGGCGCTATATAAATCCTATATAATAATAATGTCGTAATAAGCCCTCTTAAAAATGTTCAACGTAAACAAAGGAAGATACCTCAGGTGGATGAGGTAACGTAATGTCCGCTCTTCTGTCTTTATGTTGTTCTCAGGGTTTGTCCCCTTATTACGATTTGCAGGAACAGAAAATGTTCTTTGTCTGAGGAATGTCTGGTGATTGGCTGGCATGTCTTGCAAGTCATATTTCACCACAAACATCTTCACCACAGTCTTGTTTGGATTAAATAAGGTCTATAGAAAAACAAAAAAAAAAAAAAAAAACACACGAATGTTAGAGTCAAGGATTTATTTTATACAATGACTTAAAGTATTGTTTAGCTTAAGTCTTTAAAAGAAAAAAAAAAAATCGTAATCATCAGGAACATTACAGAATGGAAAGCATCCAGTGTGCTGGTGGGTTAGGTTGCAATCTTCAGTTCTCTGCCTCCGGATACCCCTGCAGCTTTGAGATCTGCAGGGGTATCTGGGGGCAGAAGACTGCTGAAGATTTCAAGCCAACACAGCAGCAACCAGCACATCAGACACTATATTAAAGTACCATTTTTAGTGTTTAAAAAAAAAAAAAAAAAATTCACTAAAAAAAACAAAAACACCTAAGCTTTAAAAACGCAACCAACCACAACACATACACCATGGAAATTCATATTTTTGAAAATCAGAAAAATACTTTACAGCTTTACACATTGTTTGAGACAAGTATATTTTATTCTTCCAAATTTGTTTCAGGTAGTTCAGGTTGGTTGAATTGTGCTTCCACACTTCTAGTAGTCCCACAGATTCCCAGTAGCTTTGAAGACTAACTTTTTTCATGGTTTTAATTTACATTTTCTAAAATTGTAGTCTGCTATTACTGTTGTCCAGAAAATTCAAGATGCTCGGCTTTAAAGCTGAACATTAGTTCCCTCTGAGTCACAGTACAAGTGTGCGTTCAGTTCTGACATCCAGGTCAGTGGACTCAAAGTACTGAGGTCAGCAATTTGCAGCCCAATGTAGTTCTTTCAGTGGTGCTTCCAGTCTGCCCTATAGCAGTAATACTGCTACAGGTCGGCATGGGTGCGCAAAAATCACATTTATAAACATGTCATTTCACATTTCCAGAGAGGGGGCATGCGCCTTGGCTGTCAATCACTAGGTCCCGCCTGGTGATCGAGGAGCATTACCGACAGAGGGAGAGAACTGTAAGTAAACATAGCACAGCCATGGAAAGCAGTGTGCTTACAGTGAAACACACACACATACAGTAAAACAGCTCACAGCACACAGTTAACCCTTTGATTGCCCCACAAGTTTACCCCTTCCTGTCCATTTCCATTAGTACAGCGTCAGTGCTTTTTGTTAGCACTGATCACTGTATTGGTGTCACTGGGGATGTAAGTGACAGCAAGTCAGTTCCCACCAGTGCTAGAATGCCCGCCGCAGCCCTGCTATAAGTCACTGATCACCGCCATTACTAGCAAAAATAAAAAAATCCCAGTATATATACCACCATTTGTAAACGCTATAACTTTCACGTAAACCAATTAACATGTATTGGAATTTTTTTTACTGGACATGTTCAATACCAAAAAGTCAAAAATATTGTTTTTTTCTCAAAGTTGTCTTATCTTTTTTTTTTTTTTTTTATTCTTTGCACAAAAGGCACAGGCGATCAAATACCACCGAAAGAAAGCTCTATTCATGAGGAAGAAAAAAAAAAAAAAAAAAAAAAAAAAAAAAAAAGACGCAAATTTAATTTCGGTGCAGTGTTGCATGACCACACAATTATCAGTTAAAGTAACAGCACCATAATGCAAAAAATAGGCTGGTCAGGAAGGGGGGTAAATCCTCGAGAGCAAGTGGTTAACAAAATAGCAATCCCAAAGAATAAATGCTGCAATCATCATATTTCAGTCATGGTTTGGTTTCTTTCCCACCCTTTAAATTAAATGCAACTATATTTAGAGTTGAACCACACAAAAATGCTAGAACTTGGTTATATAGGTCTAGCTCTAAAACTTTGAAGAGCAGTTAGATGCAACCTGGACAGTTAGAATGTTTTTTTTCCCCCAGGAGCAAAAAAAACTCTTCTTCTCTGAAGCCTGCCTACAGTTCACAAATTGAAGAAAAAAAAAAACCACACAACACACACACACACACACACACACACACACACACACACACACACACACACACACACACACACACAAGGGGGGTTTAAAAGAGACCAAGTAGATGTGGAGAAGAGTGTGTCCCAATACCATGAGTAGCAGGTTTTACATGTGAAGTGATTTAATGGCTGGCGAAACTATCTCACAGATGAATTTTTACAAAAACGCTTGGTGATTTTAATAGGAGGATTGCATCAATTGTTGCCCTTTAAAGATTTCTAGAGGTGTTGCCCTTTAAAAATTTCTAAAAAGGTGTTATTTGGCAATATTGGATTGAATGTCTGATAACTTTTGCCCTATTGTGAAGGGGATCTCTTAATTGGACAAGGCCACTTACTACTTTATCAAAAAGGAATATACTTACCACTTGTATGGTTCCAGAAGGAGGTATGCGATAACCCCTCTTGCCAAGAGACTCCAGTGTAATGTAACCCTGAATGGAAAATAAATAGGATAGTACCAACATTATGATTTTGCAATCAACTAAAGAGACAATCTAAAAGAAAAAAAATTACACATTTTAATTGTGGAGAGAAAGCCCATGTTATTCAAAGAGCTGAGAAGCAACAAGATTCTCTGTCAATGCACCAGCTAAACCATATCCAGAAGAACCATAGCTCATAGCACTTTCCTTCTGAGCAGAAATAGGACACAGTAACACCCTTCAGTATCCATTGGATCCAGCAAGTAGACATTACACCAACAGAAGGGTTAACGTTTTAAAAGCAATGGTATAAAATCCCCTTTAAATTGTTAAATAAATGAATATATTATTAAATATCATACAACACCAAACCAAATTCTTTTGCAGTCAGAAGTTAAAGCATTATAAAAATGTAATATTGTGTACAGGTTAATGTTAGGTTTATTAACTCAGAAGATATGGGAATGCTGAAACTGACTGTCACATCTTGAGCCTAAACCCTGACACTACTGTGCCAAGTTTTATTTAGCTCTGATAGACAGACAACTGGTCCTTATGCCTTCCCTTTAAATACCTAAATAAAAGACAGGTATAATTTTTTTTTTTTTTGCTCATCTGATCAGATCTGGTATCACCTTCAAAGCCTTTAGAGTGTGGCACTAGCTATCAAGACTGGATGGTGTATATGTGGCACCTGGATTTCTCACATACAAATGCTGAGGGGGGCCCCAGGGTTTATGGGTTAACTCCCAAAATTGTAATAAAATAAATAAGTTTGGTTCTGAGCCCTGCAGCCTAGAGGGTTTGTAAAAGGTAATAAATGTTTAGGTAGTTCGTGTCACCCCCTAGGTCCTACCTTATTCTAACCCAAGTCCTCAGTCGATCCAGCACTCTGCTCATCTGTAGCCGCTCTCCCGATTCTCACAGGCTTTGTTGAAGCAGCAGGAGCCTTTGGCTCCCACTGCTGTCAGTCAAATCCTGTGATGAAATAGCAGGGGGGCAGGTCCAAGCAGTGGAGCCCGAGTCCATGTACACAGGCAATGTGGCTCAGGATCGAGCCCGTGGGTGTGCCACCATAGGAAGCGGCTACCTATGGTGGCACACAAGAGAAGAGGAGAAGCCAGGAGCTCTGGCAGGAAACCTGAGAAGAAGGTCACAAAAACGACAACAGAGAGAAGCCACCAATGATAACACAAATACTTTGTGTCATAATACTATCTCCGTCTCACTTATTATAGAAGTGTGGATTAATAAACCGAGGATTGCATAATAGAAAATATGGTAGTGTGACAAGAGCAACACCACCCAGAAGGGAAAGTGGTTACTTAGACATCCACGCGGAGTAATGTAAGCTAGGTAATTACAGAAAATACTTTATTTTGATCACATAGATCATAGGGAGGTTGAACACAAGCACAGTGAACATATCAAACCAAATAAAATCATTTAAAAGCACTAAGCGTCTTCATTTCTGGGTAATTTGGGCACATAGGGAACCATATAAGGCAGTGGAATTATCTCGCAATATTCTCTTAAGTTTACATATAGTCCAGTCTTGTATTTGATTTAACCATGTAGTCTTCAGACATATTCTTGGTATAGGCCAGGGTATGTAGAGTAACTTCCTGGTGAGTAGAGACTATAACACAAAAAGATGGCAGTCAAAAACTATAAGTAACGTATACAGTCATGGCCGAAATTGTTGGCACCCTTGATATTTCTCCAGGAAATCATGTTATTTCTCACGAAACGTATTGCATTAACACATGTTTTGCTATACACATGTTTATTCCCTTTGTGTGTATTGGGACAAAACAAAAAAAGGGAGGAAAGAAAGCAAATTCGACATAATGTCACACAAACCTCCAAAAATGGGCTGGACAAAAGTATTGGCACCCTTTCACAACTGCGGATAAATAAGAATGTTACAAGCATGTGATGCTCCTGTAAACTCACCTGGGGCAAGTAACAGGTGTGGGCAATATAGAAATCACACCTGAAAGCAGATAAAAAGGAGAGACGTTCACTTAACCTTTGCATTGTGTGTCTGTCTGTGCCACACTAAGCATGGACAACAGAAAGAGGAGACGAGAACTGTCTGAGGACCTGAGAACCAAAATTGTGGCAAAATATCAACAATCTCAAGGTTACAAGTCCATCTCCAGAGAACTAGATTTGCCTTTGTCCACAGTGCGCAACATTATCAAGAAGTTTGCAACCCATGGCACTGTAGCTAATCTCCCTGGTCGTGGACGGATGAGGAAAATTGATGAAAGATTGCAACGCAGAATATAGTCCGGATGGTGGATAAGCAGCCCCAAACATGTTCCAAAGACATTCAAGCTGTCCTGCAGGCTCAGGGAGCATCAGTGTCAGCGCGAACTATCCGTCGACATTTAAATGAAATGAAACGCTATGGCAGGAGACCCAGGAGGACCCCACTGCTGACACAGAGACATAAAAAAGCAAGACTACAGTTTGCCAAAATGTACTTGAGTAAGCCAAAAGCCTTCTGGGAAAACGTCTTGTGGACAGATGAGACCAAGATAGAGCTTTTCGGTAAAGCACATCATTCTACTGTTTACCGAAAACGGAATGAGGCCTACAAAGAACAAAACACAGTACCTACGGTAAAATATGGTGGAGGTTCAATGATGTTTTGGGTTGTTTTTTGCTGCCTCTGGCACTGGGTGCCTTGACTGTGTGCAAGGCATCATGAAATCTGAGGATTACCAAGGAGGATTTTGGGTCGCACTGTAGGGCCCAGTGTCAGAAAGCTGGGTTTGCGTCCAAGATCCTGGGTCTTCCAGCAGGACAATGACCCCAAACATACGTCAAAAAGCACTCAGAAATGGATGGCAAAGAAGCGCTGGAGAGTTCTGAAGTGGCCAGCAATGAGCCCAGATCTAAATCCCATTGAACACCTGTGGAGAGATCTTAAAATTGCTGTTGGGAAAAGGTGTCCTTCCAATAAGAGAGACCTGGAGCTGTTTGCAAAGGAAGAGTGGTCCAAAATTCCGGGTGAGAGGTGTCAGAAGCTTATTGATGGTTATAGGAAGCGACTGATTTCAGTTATGTTTTCCAAAGGGTGTGCAACCAAATATTAAGTTAAGGGTGCCAATACTTTTGTCCAGCCCATTTTTGGGGTTTTGTGTGACATTATGTCATATTTGCTTTTCTGCCTCTGTTTTATATTTGTTCCAATACATACAAAGGGAATAAACATGTGTATAGCAAAACATGTGTTAATGCAATACCTTTTTTGTGTGAAATACTTGATTTTCAGGAAAAATATCAAGGGTGCCAACAATTTCGGCCATGACTGTATATCACACCAACTCTACCCCATATAGACATGAACTGTTACTCCAATTACCTTCTCAGTAATTTCGCTGTCATACCAGCATGATGAATGTGGAGACTTCCTGGGTAACCACCCCAGGTGAAAAAAGATCCACAGTAACAAGTGATTCTAAGGATATATATATAAAGTATATAATCATAAATATCAGGCAGGGTCCCTGAATAAACACAAAAAAATATATGTATGGGGTATATATTACCATCAGTGATGATCAAGAAGACTTCACGTCGACTTGAAATAAGATCAGGTCCTTTCTGCTTGTTTAGTAGTGTATATATGGATGGGAGGCCAGGTAGTCTCAGAGCAAAAAACTTCAAAGAAAAAATAGTATATATGTATCACAGGCAATATATACCTGAATCTATATACCCACTGAGGGGTTTCCAAAAATTGCTCAAGCTGAAATAGCAGGGCGGTTCCTTAAGGATATCACCATGTCACAGCGTATCGCACATGTGTGACATAGGATACATATATTCCTCCACAGAGGATTTCCAAAAAATTCCCTGAAACAACAGGGGTACTAGGCACATATAGCATTCCATAAAATTTCCTATAGGCTTATTAACCTTAACCAGCGACTACCCGCTAACTTAGCCAAATAGGCAAAAAATTACTTGCCACCGGTGGAAGGTATGCTCTATTTAGTATTGCCACAAGCGGACTGCTGGAAAGGTAGCCCTAAGGTAGTTTTTTTCAGAGCCTCGTGCCTTCTTAACATGGATCTGGAGCAAACGCTAAATAGAGCATACCTTCCACCGGTGGCAAGTAATTTTTTGCCTATTTGGCTAAGTTAGCGGGTAGTCGCTGGTTAAGGTTAATAAGCCTATAGGAAATTTTATGGAATGCTATATGTGCCTAGTACCCCTGTTGTTTCAGGGAATTTTTTGGAAATCCTCTGTGGAGGAATATATGTATCCTATGTCACACATGTGCGATACGCTGTGACATGGTGATATCCTTAAGGAACCGCCCTGCTATTTCAGCTTGAGCAATTTTTGGAAACCCCTCAGTGGGTATATAGATTCAGGTATATATTGCCTGTGATACATATATACTATTTTTTCTTTGAAGTTTTTTGCTCTGAGACTACCTGGCCTCCCATCCATATATACACTACTAAACAAGCAGAAAGGACCTGATCTTATTTCAAGTCGACGTGAAGTCTTCTTGATCATCACTGATGGTAATATATACCCCATACATATATTTTTTTGTGTTTATTCAGGGACCCTGCCTGATATTTATGATTTATATACTTTATATATATCCTTAGAATCACTTGTTACTGTGGATCTTTTTTCACCTGGGGTGGTTAGCCAGGAAGTCTCCACATTCATCATGCTGGTATGACAGCGAAATTACTGAGAAGGTAATTGGAGTAACAGTTCATGTCTATATGGGGTAGAGTTGGTGTGATATATACGTTACTTATAGTTTTTGACTGCCATCTTTTTGTGTTATAGTCTCTACTCACCAGGAAGTTACTCTACATACCCTGGCCTATACCAAGAATATGTCTGAAGACTACATGGTTAAATCAAATACAAGACTGGACTATATGTAAACTTAAGAGAATATTGCGAGATAATTCCACTGCCTTATATGGTTCCCTATGTGCCCAAATTACCCAGAAATGAAGACGCTTAGTGCTTTTAAATGATTTTATTTTGGTTTGATATGTTCACTGTGCTTGTGTTCAACCTCCCTATGATCTATGTGATCAAAATAAAGTATTTTCTGTAATTACCTAGCTTACATTACTCCGCGTGGATGTCCAAGTAACCACTTTCCCTTCTGGGTGGTGTTGCTCTTGTCACACTACCATATTTTCTACTAAGAAGAAGGTCCATTGCACAGAGCAGATAAGTACATACTATATTTGTTATGAAAAAAGTTTAAAAAAAACTTTACAATCACTATAAAAATTGTAATCAGCTTTATATTCTTTGCGGTCTCATCAACATGCGGATTAAAATCCAGCCTCAACCCACTAACTTTGATACGTCTATGGGTTGTACATTATTACTTCTAAATCTATAAAGCACTACTGGGACTCACCATGTATGGAGAGGGAGCATTGTCATCTGAAACACTGTAGAAAGACACCTTGATGGGCAATGTCGTATGGGTTGGGCAGAAAACGCCACTTGCCCCAACAGATGCTGTAAAACCCTCAACTATGCCCAAAGGTTCAAATCTAGAATTTAGAACAGACTCCTGAAAAAGATAAGAAAATACAATGGGAATATTAAAGAAAAAGAAATCCTCTGACAAACTTCACAAATAACGGTTATCCCCTGCCACTTAGCACTGAATACCCACTGGATGTGTTGATTTTGCTGCGGAATGTGGAAACCCCACTTAAAGGTAAATGACAGCATTGAAGTCCTGACTAGTTCTAGGAGCTGCAGCAGATTGCCAATAAGGATTATAAGAGCATACCTGTAGATACCAAACATAGTCCAATCCACAGGCAACAAATTTGTTATTCAAGCTATACTGCTATGAGTCCTTGAACCCTACAAGCATCATAAACAGAAAGTCTACCTCATCTGTGCTAAGAAAAAATAGAAATGGACTATTTATTGGGACTTGAATAGATAAAATAAACTTATATAAATAAATATATATATAAAATCGAGCGCAGTATGAGGATGTAGATAGGGTAGCTGCTGGCACTAAAAGGCACCTCGTGAACCTCCAGAGTAATGGTAAAATATGAAAGTGCAGCGCTAACTTAAACAATGATTACACATAAGATAGATCCCATATGAATGTGGATCGGCAAAAAAGACGGCGTCAGTTCATCAGATGTGCTAAATACGTATACAGTCTCCCACACTTGAAGAGCCAGGGATAGTAGATATCAGAAATGATAAAGAAAAGCCAAGTAATGCACTGACCAGATAGCGCAAGTTAAAGCGCATGGGACATTTAAGACCTGTCCCTGGTACTCAGCCACTGTATCACTGGAGCAAGGCGGTGTCATCTATAGGGTGACCACTAGATGTCATCTGTCCGGATGGAAGCTGTGTCCAGCCACTGTGTTGATGGATCAGGTGGGTGTTGTCTGTAGGGTGACCACTAGATGTCATCGGTTCCAGGAGAAGCTGTATCACGGATCCAGGGATGTCACTGCAGATGTGTTCTTGTTAGGCACAATCCCAGGACCTACTGGATTTACAGGCTCCCCAGAAATAAAGAGCCCGTGGAAAAAGGCCTCAAATAGTGTGATAACGTTTATTTAAAATTGAACAATCAGAAAAGAACTTACTTAGCAAAGGTACAGCTGCTTATAAACGGCCAGACCGGAGGTACATGTACATAAGATAAACATAGCTTGGCACTTCCCTAACGCGTATCGTGTAAGTACACATCATCTGATGATGTGTACTTACACGATACGCGTTAGGGAAGTGCCAAGCTATGTTTATCTTATGTACATGTTCCTCCGGTCTGGCCGTTTATAAGCAGCTGTACCTTTGCTAAGTAAGTTCTTTTCTGATTGTTCAATTTTAAATAAACGTTATCACACTATTTGAGGCCTTTTTCCACGGGCTCTTTATTTCTGGGGAGCCTGTAAATCCAGTAGGTCCTGGGATTGTGCCTAACAAGAACACACATCTGCAGTGACATCCCTGGATCCGTGATACAGCTTCTCCTGGAACCGATGACATCTAGTGGTCACCCTACAGACAACACCCACCTGATCCATCAACACAGTGGCTGGACACAGCTTCCATCCGGACAGATGACATCTAGTGGTCACCCTATAGATGACACCGCCTTGCTCCAGTGATACAGTGGCTGAGTACCAGGGACAGGTCTTAAATGTCCCATGCGCTTTAACTTGCGCTATCTGGTCAGTGCATTACTTGGCTTTTCTTTATCATTTCTGATATCTACTATCCCTGGCTCTTCAAGTGTGGGAGACTGTATACGTATTTAGCACATCTGATGAACTGACGCCGTCTTTTTTGCCGATCCACATTCATATGGGATCTATCTTATGTGTAATCATTGTTTAAGTTAGCGCTGCACTTTCATATTTTACCATATTTATTGGGACTTATTCATACACTACACTATAAAAAAGGCAAATTATCTTAAATTATGCCGATAATATACCTACATACATCACAAAATCATTTCTGTGATCAGTCAATATTTGTTCAGATTATCAAGATGGTAAAATGAAAAATCTGGTGGTGCCAGTGATCACGTTAAACTTGAGTTCAAATGCCAGACTGTGCTATATAAGAACATGTCCCATTTGTAATCTGCCTGGGCAAAACGCAAGACAATGAGCTGAATTTTTCCCCTAGGGGCGATTTTAATTCTGTGTTTTAGAGAAATGTACACACAAATTTCATCGTAAGGCTGCAGAGAACATACCTCAAAATTTCCCAGAAGGCTAAGACAAGGTGCAGGTGGAGCACTGCAACTGAGTTGTCGGTCGATACTGCACTCTGAACTCACTACTTTTTTCTCACAGTGACGTCGTCTGTTATGGATTTAAAAAAAAAAAAAAAAAAAATTACATTTTGTCTCCAATAAGGTTCACAAACACAAAACCATAGCTTGCAGGTGTAATGACCGCCTACAGCTGTAACTAGCCTAACCCAAATATAAAACAATTTCAACCTGACCGCTTGGTCTTGGATATGCAGTAGGGCATACAACCAAACTTGGTACTTAAACCATTTAAATGGCTCAGACTGCAATTATATTTCCAATGGCAAATAGAATTGCAGTGTGTAAACAGCAGCAGGGTAGGCCCACTGCTACTTATGTGGGGCGTGTAGGAGAGGGATTACTGCTACAGAGGGAATCCTAAGTATTACATTAATGCTGAAAAAAACAAAACAAACACTTTAAAAAGCACATATATAATCAAAAACAATTTATATGTAATAAGTTCCTTTACAGAACCCTACAGGATGATGTACTTATATTGTAGACACATATTTGTCATATTGATCTTTGCATACATGAAACAAGCAATAAGATTGTGTTTTGCATACATTACTAAGATGCCTTATTGTGCGCAGATACCATACTAGATCGCACAGAGGCTGGTGTAAGAGTAGGAGCATTATATGACCAGTATATAATTCTGCTGATAAATGCGGTCAGTGTATAGCATAGATCACAAAAGATCCCCATCTAGTGGACAAACATTGCATTGCACTTTTTTTTACCTTTATAACTAAGGCAAAAAAAAAAAAAAAAATACTAACATTTTGGATAGAGCTGGGAGGGATTAGAACCCTGTCAGGATTTACTGCTGTCTGTGTCCCCATTAAGGAGATTCGCAGGCTCTATTTTGGTTGTCCCCAGAACAGTAAGATGGGAAATCTTCAAATGGGGACATTTGACTTGGAGACATCCAGGGATGGTTTCACTTTAAAGGGATTTCCTCTCACTTCCAGTTTTGGTCACTGGATAGGAAATTAAGGGAAATCTCCCAAATGGAATACAGATGAAAAAGAAAAAAAAAAAAAAAAACCTGATAGGGATTATAACCCTATTAGGGGATCCACCCTATTGACGCCTTTGCTACTAGGGATCCACTAGCCACCAGGGAACTACCTCACCTGACCTGGATGAGTATATTTCTAATAATACTCACTATACTCTATGGCTTTGTATTTGTGATACCACTGGCCACCAGGGTCCTATCTATTGGACTTTGATCTGTATGCGTTGCATGTTGAGTGAACCACTGACCATCAGGGAGCTGATTTATGTGGGCCTGGATTTATAGTATATCAATGTGAGTCCTGGTTGCTTGGTTTTTGTCTTGTGTTCTTAAATAAACGTACTTTACTATTAGCGCTTTCTTGCCTCCCGGCTCGTTTGTAATGAGCTTATGCAAGGTGGCGTTTTGGATTTGAAAGCCAGAAGGGGCCTGGATAGCGTTGTACCTGTGACCCGGATGTCCATATATGACCAGATGGTGCCCAGGCTGTTGACCAGACCATGATGCCCGGTTGCTGTTAATTACATACAATGCTCATATTGTGTGTATTTGTGGTAAGCGCACAACCTCACTAATTTCTCTTATTTCATCGTTTGTGATCTGGAACATCATTGGATCATTTCCATTTTTTCAGGCTGGAATATATGAACTATTATATGAACTGCTGTATTGGTACTTCATATCATAAACAGTCCCGTGTTTATTATCTGTTCTCTAGCGCTACATACCCCATTCATAGTTTAATAACCAGATTAGTTCATGTTAACAGGTGTTCCCAGAGACCTAAACATCATTTCAAGGGTTCCTCTGGGATAAAAATGTGAAGGAAGAAGGCCGATCTATGCTATTTAATGGAAGTGAAACTAATATGTTGCAAATATGACCATTAAAACACAGATTACCTACAAATTTCAAAGTTTGAGAACTGCAAGTTTCAGGCATCCCCCACCCCCCAAATAAAACAAAACCACAATACATCTCTCTCTCTCCAAATAGACTAGAGATTATATCTATATAAAAGAAAGGAGATGCAGCGGCCATCATGCAAAAAACTTCTTGTTCATGGTTGTTCGAAAAACTGTGCAGGTGCTATATGCCATTTGTTTACATTGTAATGATGCATTTATGAAGTAAATCGTTTTTGCATGATTTGGGATGCTGCATCCTTTTTTGGATGCATGCTGCTGGTGGAATGGTTGGAGCCCGATTTTGATAATTCTGTGCTCAAGATGTAAAAAGCGAGAAATTCACAAAATATTATATACAGTTAGGCCCATATATATTGGGACACAGGCACAATTTTCATACTTTTGGCTCTGTATGCCACCAGAATAAATTAAAACTAAACAATGCAAATGAATTTGAAGTGCAGACTTTCAGCTTTAATCAAAAGGGTTGAACATAAAATATCAAGTACAAATTTTAGGAACTGCAACCATTTTTATACACAGTCCCTCCATTTACAGGGGCTCAAATGTAATTGGACAAATGAATATAATCATAAATAAAATGTTCATTTTTAATATTTTGTTGAGAATCCTTTACTGGCAATGACTGCCTGAAGTCTGGAACCCATGGACATTACCAAAGACTGGGTTTCCTCCTTTCTGATGCTTTCCCAGGCTCTAACTGCAGCAGTCTTCATTTCCTTGTGCGTCTTTCTGCCTTTAGTTTTGCCTTCAGAAAGTGAAATGCATGCTCAATTAGGTTGAGATCAGGTGATTGACTCGACCATTGCAGAATATTCCACTTTTTCTTCAAAAGCTCCTGGGTTGCTTTTGCAGTGTGTTTTGGATCATTGTCCATCTGCACTGTGAAGTGCTGTCCAATCAACTTTGCTGCATTTGGCTGAATCTGGGCTGAGTGTATATCTCTAAACACTGCAGAATTCATCCAGCTGCTTCTGTCACATCAACACCAATGACAAAGTGCCACTGGAAGCCATGTATGCCCATGCCATCACACTGCCTCCAGCATGTTTTACAGATGACATTGTGTGCTTTGGATCATGAGCTGTTCCAAGCCTTCTCCACACTTTCTTCCAGTCATTTTTGGTACAGATTAAATGTTAGTTTCATCTGTCCAAAGAATGTTTTTCCAGAACTGGTCTGGCTTTTTTTTTTTTTTTTAAGATTTTTTTTGGCAAAGTCTAATCTGGCTTTTCTATTCTTCAGGCTTACAAATGGTTTGCACCTTGGTGAACCCTCTGTATTTGCTCTCGTGAAGTCTTCTTTTGATTGTAGACTTTTACAATGATACACCTACCTGCTGGAGAGTGCCCTTCACTTGTCTGGATGTTGTGAATTGGTTTCTTTACAATTGAATATCATCCACCACTGTTGCCTTCCATGGACGTCCATGCCTTTCTATGTTGCTGAGCTCACCAGTGCGTTCTTTCCTCAGAATGTACCAAACTGTTGATTTGGCCACTCCTAATGTTGCGGCTATCTCTCTAATGGATTGGTTTAGTTTTTGAAGCCTTACAATGGCCTGTTTCACTTGCATGGACCGCTCCTTTGAACGCATCATGTAGGTTCACAGCAATAGATTCCAAATGCAAATACCACACTTAGAATCAGCTCCAGACCTTTTACCTGCTTAACTGATGAAGAAATAACAAAGGAGTAGCCTACACCTGGCCATGAAACAGCTTTTGATTCAATTGTCCAATTACTTTTGGCCCCTCAAAAAAAGGGGGATGGCTGCTCCTAAGAGCTGTAATTCCTAAACCTGTCTTCCAATTTGGATGTACATACCCTCAAATTAAACTTAAAAGTATGCACTTTCAGTCCATATCCATTATAAAACTATAGCTTGAATAGGTTTTGAGATCTATATATATATATTTTTTTTTTTAATGTACATTTGTTTTCCAACACTAGTTTCTAATAATAAAACACTGCACTGACACCTGGGAGCCTCTGTTCGGCTAGCGACTGAGGATATATACACTGCAGAGCTATAAACACATGCAGAGATGCTGCATCAGGTAAGGCGTGCCATTGACTACAGAGATGCCTGGGCAGGCAAAACAAGGCTGCGCATAACAGGTGAGTATTGTTAGCACCCATGGCAGTTATGGTTTACCCCATCCCAAAACACACACTAAATGGGATCATTGTTTTATTTACTTGCTGTTCCCAGAATTCAGTATTTTTGGAATGGATTTTCTCCTAATTCCCTAAATTTAGTGTGCCCACAGATGCTCTGCACAACCTTAGATTGTATACAATTACTGGCATTTGTCATGTAACGCTGAACATCCTTATTTAAGAGTTATCCCAACAATGCACTGGAAAAAGAAAGGTTTAGTAAGAGCAGAAGATATACAAAAATATAAATACCTCCTTGTGGATAAACCTTTAAATTGTAGTAAGGAAGTGTCCAGATCAAAATACCCTGACTGTGTTTTTCTTTGTGGAACCTAGGTGAAATAAAAAGATTCTTTCATCTGGCAAGCCCTGGCTTTCAATGAACATTGCAGGAGACAGATCAAATTCCCAATCTGCAAACAACCTGGATTTCCAAAGACTCTCAGCCAACTTTAACTAATTGAAGCTTAGATATTTTGACAGATGACCAAAGAGAATGTTAGGATTTTAGCTTCAACGTAGTAATATGCTGCCAAATATGTAGCAAGCATGAAACAGTAAGTATGTAGTACATATAGAAGATAATTCAATAAAAAATAAAATATATCTGAAGTGGTTTTAGACATTTGATTTTTCCTAGCTGTGGAAACACGAGGATGGGAGGCAGTGAGAGGTACTCGCCCACTTTTGTCAGTTATGCTAAAGAGCTGTGTATATGTATTGTTCTCATTTTAAATTCTAAGACCTTCCTGGGGAGTTTGCAAAATTTAGGGAAACATTAAATGAGTCTTAAAAAGAACTCCAGGACTTTGCTGTTTGTTCCTAGCAACTAGCTGAACAAAATATGATCAGTTTAATGTACGAGATGGCTTCTGTGCAGTAGTAATCGAGCTTATTCTCTCAGCTAGGACACTACTTATATACACAAGGTCCCTCTTGGTGTATTCGGTCTTGGACATAATTTAATACTAATGCTTGAAAACCTGATGCATCCAATTTGCTTTTTTTTTTTTTATTGTTGACTTTTTAAAGTGAAAATATACTTTTAAATAGAAATGGAGTGCAAGTCCGGTGTAAGAGTGACCACCACAAGATGCTTTCCATTATCTATACAAGACCAAAGAGCTGCTTCTGTCCACGGTTTGATTTAGTTTAAAGTAGAACTAAAAAGACAAAACTTTTTTTCTTTTTTACCATTTTGGATAGAGCAAGGGAGGATAACCCGTCAGATTTGAAATTTTTTTTTTTTTGCCATCTGTGTCCCATTGCAGAGATTTCCCTTCACATCCTGTCCCATAGCCAAACAGGAAGTTAGAAGAAATGCCTGCAAATTATCGGATTCCTTGGGGACCCCCAGGTCACCAGAACAAGTGTCCCCATTGGTAGATTTCCCCTCTATTAATTTTCTGGGGATAACCCAAAATTTGGGATTTTTTTACCTTAACTTTCAAATGATAATGGCAAGAGAATCTCCCTAATGAAGGGCACAGACAGCAACCTTTCAGGTGTTCTAATCTCTCTCCACTATCCAAAAAAAAAAAAGGAAAAAAAAAAAAAAAAAAAAAAAAAAAAAAAAAAAAGTTTTGCCTTTGGTTATTCCATGTTTACTGTGCACTTAAAATTTAGTTTGGGCCAGCTTGGTTTAAATGGATCTATGCTGTGGCAGAACAGCGGAGGTGTTTTGGAGGCTGTAATACAGTGTAGCAGCTTCTGCGGCATACAGTAAGCTGTGGTGTCTGACCAAGCCCAACCCATTTCCCTTTCCACCCAGAAAGAAACAAACAGTTATGTGACTTTGCAGTAAATAAAAAAAGCATCTTGTATTTTTATCAATGAATACAAGGCATCTGATTGACCAAGGAGAAGAGGTTGGCAGATGGCATCACAAGCTCCACCTTGGTCAGATAACTTCTATTTATTGATAAAAAAAAAAAAAAAAAAAAATACAAGGTGCTTCTTGAATGGCTGAGATGTCACATGACCGACTCGGCTTCTTTCCAGCCACAGAAGGAAAGTGTGTAGGACTCCCAGGAAGACAGCACAGTACTGTATGCAGTAGAAGCTGCTGCACTGTAATACAGCCCCCACAGCCTTCCGTAACAGTAAGCATTCATTTCAACAAAGGTGGTCCAAAAATACTTTTTAAAAAAGGCGCAGTAAAAGTGAAGTTCTGGTTTATGTTACTTACCGGCGCTGAACTTCCCCCGACGTCATGGCTAAGCTCTAAAATACCTTACATTACCCTGTCCAAACAGACAGCCAATGTGCCAGTCTCACTGGACAGCGGAGTGGCTGTTGTGAGGACTTAAAGTTTTACTAAACCCACAGCAGTAAAATCAATCTTTATATGCAGTAAAACATGCTGGTTATACCCACTGTTATCCAGTGGGTTAATGTACATTTTGTAAAAAGGCTGTTTGATCCCGTCTTCTCTGATGCTCCCCTTCTTTTACTGTCCCCATTCCATCTGCTGATAGTACAGAGCTCTAGGAGGCACTCTAGACATATACACTAAACTGAGCATGTGCAGAGAGTTTATTTTCTTTGGGAGAGTGCACGTGATCAGCACAGGGCCATTCAGCACTGTCCAGGCAGAGGGTCAGGAGTTATGCAGACTCATAGGACAGTCAGAGGAGAATGAAAATTCCTCCTACAAGCTTTAACCAGTACTCAGCTGGGCACTGATAAAAGTCACAAGATTGCTATATACTGCTGATGAGAAAAAGGTATTTAGCAGTTTATATTTACTAAAAATAATTGTATTTCCATGTTCTGTGGAATTTACCTAGATCTGATCTCCCACAATACAATCTGATCAGCTGCTATCGGAAACAAGAATAGAAGACTCACTACAACTGCAAATGGCTAAAACCGCTTGCCTGTGCCAAATGGGAAATCTGGCGCTGAAATAGTATGCAGCTTTTGCTGCTTGCAAACATCTGCAGAAACAAATGAACAAGCTGTTTCATAGAATGATTGCATGTAAATAAAATCACACAAGGGTTCAATTATTAATAAAATATTAAAAAGGTCAGCAGAAACTTACAGGACTTGAGAGTAAAGGTAAACCTGTGCAAGGGTGGAAGGCTTTGGACGAAGTCCCATCTAGTGAGTGGAAACCCTTCTTCCTCCAATTATTGGATGTCCGCAATGGTACAGATTTCTGGGTACACCAAAAAAAGAACATATAAAATGGTATATATTTTGCACTGTTAGTTATGCTCCTAAGTGCCAATGTTGTATTGTTTACTTCATGAATATTGTGCATCACATAGTAAATGGACCCATTACTCGTTTGCTTTAAAGTACAACAAGGTCATGGCAAGCTAAACTACATTGGCAAGCTTTGGCCCATATCATACCTTGCTAGATACCCTGAAGCTGGCCATACACCTGGCAATGCTAGAGCTTTCCAATACAGCTTCATTAGTTTCTCACTTTCAAAAGAACTTGCAGACTGGTCTTGTTCATTTGGTAAATGGAAATATGTGCATGGGTTAAGGTGGCATAATGTTGTGGTTGATGAAAAACTCTAGGACTTCCAAATCATTTTCTCTACTGCCCATTGCCTACAGGAGAAACTGACACTAGGCACAAAACTGAAGGCCAGACCTATAGAGTCTATAACCCCTCACACCTGCCCAGTTATGCTTCTCGTCCTTAGGAGAACGTATCCCTCCATCCTTACTGCTATATTTTCCGCTTGCATTGGAAAATGTTTCTACCATCCACAGGTACTCATTTCAGTCTGAATATTGGAAATCTTGGAAGTCTCTCCAGTTAGAGTGTGAGCTCTCCCAGATCATTCAGTATACTGGCTTGATCTCTGCAAGGCTCCTGCAGTTGGCAGGAACAACCAGTCTGCGCTCCAGTTGGCACAGGGCTCCCCTTTATATGTCAGGACAGGGTATCTGGAGACTGCAGGCTGAGTACTGGTACCAGAGCTGTGGCAGTTCAACTGTCTGCATCTCTGAAGACTCACTGTTGTGATTGGCTAGCAGGCTGTCAGCTACTGTGTCACATTCTCACAGATGCTGCTGCATCTGGAAGGCAGTATGATGGAAGGTTTAACTCTTTACAGAACTTTCCTATTCATTTAAAAAGGCTGCTTTGACATGGATCCATTTTTCTTCTGTGGCTGCATTAAAAAAGAAAAACCGTGTGACCATGTATTCCTATGGAACTCTTCAGATTGATCTGCTGTGGGTCCAGTGAATTTTTCAAAGTCCTCCTTGCTGCATTTTTGGTGCAGGTTTAGTGAAAAAAAACAAACAAAAAATACACCTCCCCTTTGAATTCAATGACAAAACGCAACAAAAAGAAAAATACTAAGAAAAAAAAAAAAAAAAAAAGTACTGACCCGTGGTATAAAAATATAGCACTAGATAGTCTGGCAGGCAGACAGAGGCTGAAGAAAGGGTACGGGGAAGGGAACCAAAAGTGCTCCACTCTACTAATGTCTTTATACTAAGAACTGATGTTGGTACCTTAAATATAGAAATATAGAACAAATTGTGCCCCTGCGTCACCCTGTCCCCTTGTACAGCTTTGAGGGCGGGTGGATGCTATAAGCCCACAGCTGGTTCTGGGCAGTGTGGGGCGAGGATGCTGCCCATGGAAGCGGCCCATATGCGCAGAGCATTGTGACATGATGCAGGACGCATGTACAGTGATGAAGTCACTTTTAGTCACCATTTTGGCATCCGGTGGGACAGAATTGGCAGCGTGGAGGCATATACAAGGGGCTGCTGATCAGTCTTAATGTGTGGTTGTTTCTGGTGGGGGGGTGAGGCTGTGTAAGGGCAAGGTATGGAGCTGCTATGGAGATTTAGAGTAACATCAGTGATATCTACAGTATATGAAGGTATGCATGGAGTATCTATGAGAAGGGGGGGGGGGGGGTTGGGGTTTTCTGTTCAAATTGTCTATATGGTGCAGTAAAGGAATGTCCCCAAGTAATACTGGTGGGCAAAAGAATGGCTTATGAAATATCCCCCATCCACCTAGAAGATGGTGCAAATATTAGTGTGGGCAAGCTATCTGTCCCCATTTTTTGGTAAAGAAGATATAGGTTTATATGTGGAAATATGATCATTTTAAGAATCTTTGAGCCCTGTAGAATCATGGGTATACTGTGTATATAGATCAGAAAGGCTGCCAAGTGGGAGATGGAGTTAACATCTGCAATTTAGGGCTAGGAGTTACTTCGGATTGTGTTTTCTGTCCCCTTCCCCTAATCTCCCCTCTCCTGCCCGCTTTCCTCCCCCGGGCCCCAAGATAAACTTTATGTATGCATATAAAAGCGTTTTTTTTTTTTTTTTTTTATTAAAGTAGTATGAGGTGATACAACATATTTAGAATTCCAGAATATAGCCCGCTGGGCTCACGTGTTGTCATCATGAAAATTCTCCATCTTTGGAATTTGTTTTTATATGGTCCCAAGTTTTCCCTGGTATTTCTGGAGTGTACCCTTGGAAGTTCATAGTATAGGACATCAGTGTCATTGGATCCCAGCTAAGGTATACAAAACATGGGCAATCCCTTATGCTGATCCTTGGAATGGGTGAGTATGTTTCTAGCTTTAGTATATGAAGGGACACTAAAAACCAGATGGATGGGATGTGGAAGATTGGTGGTGATATACCAGTACAATTAGTTGTTTGTTTAAAGTACCCACATCAGTTCTTGCTTCATCTAAAAAGACAACAGAGAGGAGCCCTTTTGGTTCCCTTCCCCATCTCCCCTCTTCGGCCTTTATATCCGCCTGCCAGACTATTCAGTCCTGTATATTATTTATACCATGGGTCAGTACCTCTATTTAAGCATACTTTGTTTAGGACATGTAACAGGTTTCATATGATGTATTTATCTTGCTTATGTTATTCTATGTATTAATTTTTTTTGTATATATTTAGTTTGCACCTACATGCCCTCTTTGTCCTGACAAAGCTATTTAACTGTGAACTGCATTGACAGATCTGGATTTGGAGAAGCATGCCTTGGCATGTACAATGAATACAAAATATATGTGCGCTTAATAGTTCAGGCTAGCTTTCATTCCTGTCCAGTAGAGGGTATATACACTGCTCAAAAATTAAAGGAACATTTTGAAAACACATCAGATCTCAATGGGGAAAAATATCATGCTGGATATCTATACAGATATGGACTGGGTAATGTGTTAGGAACGTAAAAGATGCCCCATTGTTTGATGGAAATGAAAAATGATCACCCTACAGAGGACTGAATTTAAAGAAACCCCAAAAATCAAAGTGAAAAAATTATGCAGCAGGCTAGTCCTTTTTGCTGAAATTTCCTAGCAGCAGCTCAAAATAGCACTCAGTAATTTGTACAGCCCCCACTTGCTTGTATGCATACCTGACAACGTCAGGGAATGCTCCTAATGAGATGACGGATGGTGTCCTGGGGTATTTCCTCCCAGATCTGGACCAGGGCATCACTGAGCTCCTGGACAGTCTGAGGTGCAACCTGGCGGCGTCAGATGGACAAAAACCTGATATCCCAGAGGTGTTCTATTGGATCTAGGTCAGGAGAGCGTGGGGGCCAGTCAATGGTATCAGTGCCTTCATCCTCCAGGAACTGCCTGCATACTCTCGCCATATGAGGCTGGGCATTGTTGTGCACCAGGAGGAACCCAGGACCCACTGCACCAGCGTAGGGTCTGACAATAGGTCCAAGGATTTCATCCCGCTACCTAATAGCAGTCAGGGTGCCATTGTCTAGCCTGTAGAGGTCTGTGCATCCCTCCACGGATATGCCTCCCCAGACCAATCACTGACCCATCACCAAAAACGGTCATGCTGAACGATGTTACAGGCAGCATAACATTCTCCACGGCGTCTCCAGACCCTTTCACCTCTGTCACATGTGCTCAGGTGAACCTGCTCTAATCTGTGAAAAGCACAGGGCGCCAGTGGTGGACCTGCCAATTCTGGTGTTCAATGGCAAATGCCAATCAAGCTCTATGGTGCTGGGCCCATAGGGCCCACTAGAGGATGTCGGGCCCTCAGGCCACCCTCAAAGTCTGTTTCTGACTGTTTGGTCAGAGACATTCACACCAGTGGCCTGCTGGAGGTAATTTTGTAGTGCTCTGGCAGTGCTCATCCTGTTCATCCTTGCACAAAGAAGCAGATACTGGTCCTGATGATAGGTTAAGGACCTTTTACAGCCCTGTCCAGCTCTCCTACAGTAACTGCTTGTATCCTGGAATCTCCTCCATGCTCTTGAGACTACTGGGAGATACAGCAAACCTTTTGGCAATGGCAGGTATTGATGTGCCATCCTGGAGTAGTTAGACTGCTTGTGCAACCTCTGTAGAATCCAGGTATCCCCTCATACTACCAGTAGTGACACTGACCCAACCAAATGCAAAACTAGTGAAAAAAGAGAAAATGAGTAGGGGAAAAAAAAAAAAAAAAAAAAAAAAAAAAATGTCATTGCCCTCCACCTGTAAAACCATTCCCGTTTTGGGGGGAGGGAACGTCTCATTGTTGCCCATCCAGTGCACCTGTTAAAATTTCATTACCACTAAAGCAACTCAAACTGATTAACAACCCCCTCTGCTACTTAACTGACCAGATCAATATCCCAGGAGTTTAATCGACTTGATGCTATACTCTGATTAGAAAATGTTTTTGTTTCTTTTTTTGAGCAGTATATATATATATATATATATATATATATATATATATATATATATATTTATTTTTTCCCTGGCCATCTCTTCTTTTTATGTACCACTAGATTGTATTTGTAATACTACAGAAAGCCTCCTCCTCCCCATAACACATGGGAGGTGTTCAGTAGTTCAGAAGTCCACAGGACTAATAACAGGACCTAGGAGTTCAGTGCAGCAGAAGCAGAGATGTTCGTACACAAGACGTTACAGGCTTGCTGGATATCTGGCAGAACGTTTAAGCCCCGTACACATGAGAATATTGGACAAAAGGTAGTCCATTTTTTTTGCATGCTAGTCTCATATCGAAAGTGAAGGTTACGAAAGATACAAAAGTCCTTGTACAACAGAAAGAGAAGTTGGAAGTGGAAGTGATGTAATGTACTGTATTTTAAGATGAAAACTGTACCGATTACATAAATAAAAATCGTACGATCTGATATCGTACAAAAATTTTCGTGTTTGTCCCTTCAAGTAATTGAAAGCCAACGATCAGATTATTGTATGACCGCTTCGAAAGCTGTATTTTTTGTACAGTTTTCTGATCATGTCTACTAGGCTTTAGCCATTTTTTGTACTTGCAGTATTTTAAGCAAAAGGTTGTTGCAGATGTTAGCACTAAGCGTCTAGAATATTAACTCAGCTTTGTTGGGAGTATTTTATAACTAACCCACATTGTATACAGAGTATAAAATGTCAAATCTGTGTTGCATCAGGTGGCTTGATGATGATCTAAATAGCTGACTCAAAGCAATGTACCTAAACCAGATTTCAAGACTCCTCTGCCAAGGACAACCAGCTCTTGAGTGGCAGGATACAGCAAGGCTCCATTCACAAACCAGCTGCTCTTATTGCAAAGTTCAGTATGGTGATCACCTCATGTCATCCCAACACAGAAGCCTACTACACTACTGAACCATATTGATGTCATAAAAATACAGTGTCACCCAAACAAAATATGTGGAAAAAAAGGTTTTCCTCTTGAATCCAAATAAAACATATAAATACATGTATTAGCCCATTTACATAAGTACTGGAAAAATGCACATCAGTAATGGTGTTGCGATTGGCAGATGTTCAGATGCTTAACCCAGCAGGTGTCCTGTTGGGTTCAGCAACATAAATGATTGGGGATATCTGAAAAAAGCCACAATGCATTTGCCAAAAGTTTGTGTATGGAGCCATTTAGCTCAATGCACCCTTTCGGGACTGGCTTCTGGACTTACCCCCAATACCACCTTGAAAGGCCTAAATGTACGGATCAATACAATATGTTCTTAATGACAATTTATTACTACAACTAAATTACTAATTTTCTTGACATACAAATTACATTTAAAAAAGAATCTTATACTGTGATAAATACAGAAGCTGCCATTAAGGACTTCTCGAAAATGCTAGTTGTCTGGCTGTGCTTGACCATCTATAGCTTAAATAGATTGAGACACTGACCTGGAACAAGCATGCAGATCAGCAAAGAGTGACGTCAGAACTCCTAATGTCAACTTGTGATCCAGAACAGTGACTCAAGAAGTACTAAAGCCATTGAATAATTATGACAGCCAGAGAAATAGATTTTAAATAAGGATAAGTCAGCAGTGTGACTTCATAATGCCTCTACCAGTTGTCCAATATTTTTAATAAGGCTGTAAAATGATGAAAATGGCAGCAATACGCCATAGACTGCAATTCCAATAAATATATGATAGCTATGACTAGGTTTCTCAAAACCTTATGACGGATTTCTTACTGGTCCCACTCACTGTCCTGAAATGAGGCATAATCAAACTTTTTTTGGGACATGTGATGGAATTAGAACGTCTCTAAAAGACTCATCTAAAAATTAGCTATTCTTGAAACAAGCACAAAATCTTTATCCAATAACATATGGATCTGCAAGACAGTTTTGTCAACACTGCAGATCTCAATATCAAAAATCTTTGTTATGGCTACCCATATTTGCAGAATTGCTTTTTAACAGCCCTTAAATGAAAGGGGTTTAATTCTTCAAAATGTACTGACATGGCATCACCTTACAATAAAATCTACATCGTTGTACGTTGTAGAAAACCAGGATTTGGGCCTTTGTGACAGTCTCCTCTATCACATACAGTAGGTAAAGCAGCTCTGCAAAGCATGCTTGTGTGCAAAATGTGCTTTTTACAAAAATCAGGTATACAATTGGGCATGTACTTTTAAACTTTTTTTTAAAAAATGACAAAATCCTGCCTAAGGCATGCCATAGACAAGTCAAAATCCAAGTTGTTGAGCAAAAAACAAAAAATAGCTCATTAGGATCGAGCCATCGTTTCATTTTTTCTAATAAAAAGCCATCATGTTGGATCAGGTACTTTTGATCGCAGCATGAAAATGGTGTGTCGCAGCTGACACACTAATGATGCAAAAAACGAACGATTCAGAATTTTTGTGCGGTTTCTGCATTGTCTATGGCCTGCTTAAGACAGTGGCCATAGTGGCCGGGTAAGGGCACTCATTCCAAATGTGGAGAGCAGCTGGTATAATTTAGCCATGCAATCAGAGAAAGCCAAACCCCAGGAATAAAAGTAAAACTAAATTGCAAAAGGGGTTTTATGGGTTTTCCTATAGTGTCTGCTCTTGTGTAGGACTCCTGTTAAGAACCCATGACAGTCCCATCCTCAAACCAGTAGGCTGCAATTAGAAATTCTCAGTACCTTACATTGGTTTTTGATTATGTTCAGTTCAAGATATTCAGTGTTTGATAAGAATTAATCTGCAAACACAAAAGTGGATATTAAATTCCAATCTAGGAGTGATAGGTGCAATCCTGACTCTAGTGACCCAAGGAGAGGAAAATGGCACACATCATTACAGACCTAGGTCAGTGCTGCCACACCGCTCAATCTTTGCAGTTATTAAAACTACACTTGATGTATATACAAACCTTTTGTTCTGTATTCTTCAGCCGTTCACATCTCGAACAACTCTTGGTGGCCTTTCCTTGCTCTTGTGCGGCACAGTCACACTTGGCTGGATCCTCGTTCTCATCATGGGTTGTCTTCAGTTTGTCCTGGGTCTCTCTGAGTTTTAAACCATCGCGTTCCGAACTGACATAATTTTCTATACTATGAAGTTGATTAGTATGATCAGACCCTTGTGCTTTCCATGTGTTATTCTCTGTACATTTAGGCTCTGATACTTGGCTAACCGCACAGGTTTTCAGTGCCACTACACTTCGTGAACAATTCTTACAGAAATCACCTTGAGAACTGTCTCTGCTTCGGTTTTCAGTTTGCTTGTTGTTGCTGCTGCATATGTGGACATTTGTCATACTATGGTGTGAGATGTGGGTTACTTTATTGGTATTTTTTTCTGTCTGGTCACCTTGTTTCAAGTCACCTATTTCAGGAAGCGCAACTGAATTTTCTCTTGTGGATACAGATAGTGCAGGTGGTGTGTGTTTACTTGCAAAACTCTGAAAGGAGTTAAAAACTTGTTCACTAGGTTGAATTAAAATAAGTTTCCTTCTAGCTTGTGGTTTTGGTGAGGTTCTACCTTCCAGACTGTGGCGAGAGGAAGCGATGGGTGTATCTAAAGATGGTTTCAGTTTTCTATCCAGGCTGTCAGGGGTTAGAGTCAAGTCTGAACTGAAAGTATTAAGGACAGGTGTTTCTCGCTCTATTTTGTTAAAATTTTCATCTTCAGATTGGTTTCGGAATATTTTAGAACATATAGTGCTGGAGTCGTGCAATTTGAAAGAACGATTAGCTATGTGCGTATTTGCTGGATCACACTGTAGCAAATGTTGTGCAATTCTCGCTATGACTTCTTGACGTTCTTGAATTAAGGTGCCTATCAGGGGGTTGGTCTCGGTTGGCTGGTTTGCGTGCGGATTATTAGGTGTATCAACCAAAGACAGGGATTTAAAATTTCGAACAGGAGAGTCTGGTGGAGCTCCCTTTAACTCGCTGATCACACTGAAACCTTGAACCTTTGATGGTGATGTCCCAATGTCATAACCACTCCCACTCCCAGATATTAACTTGACACTTCTGCCAGGAATAGTGAGATTCATGCTTAGACTTGTCTTAGCTTGCATTAAACCTTCAGGTCCAACAGTCCACGTCTGCTTGCTACAAGAATGCTGAGAATTGAGGACACCATACTGCCTGCTCTCCTTCAGCTCTCGTGGCGGAAGAACACTCTGCTCACGTGTGGAGAACCTCTTCTCATAGAAGCCAAGATCACTATGGATGCTACAGTTCAGCACTGGATAGCTGGATTGTCTAGGCAAAGACTGGACACTGACTTTCAAGGCCACATTGTGAGAGACATTGGGAACAGGAAACACATGCTCAGTTGGGGTGTGTGTAAAATTCCATTGCAGTTCTCCATCAGCCGGACTTACTCTGTAAATATATAGGAGGACAGACAATTAGTCTCTTTTACATATTTGTTATAGGTACTTCTATAGCACTAACAATTTACTCAGTGCTTCACATATATATTATACATTCACATCACATACTGCCCTCAAGGAGTTTACAATCTAAGGTCCTTTAATCACATTCATACATACTAGAGACAATTTAGACAGGAGCCAATTACCCTACCAGCATGTCTTTGGAGAGTGGGAGGAAAAAACGGAGTACATGGAAGAACACCACACAAGCACAGGGAGAACATGCAAATGCCAGGCAAGTAGTGCCGTGATTGGGACTCGAACCAGCAATCCTAGTGCTGCTGCTAGGCAGAAGTGCTAACCACTTGGCTACAAGCTTACAGTGGAGCTCCTGTCTCCCCCCAAAAATTAAAAGTCACCAGCTACAAATACTGTAGCTGCTACCTTTAATAAAGGACACTTCTCTGTTCAGGGATCCAGCGATGTCCTCACTAAAGCCAACTCTTAAATCGGCTTCGGGTGCAGGAGCCAGCAGGTTGGGCAGTCTTTCAGCTTCACAACCGGATTCCTACTGCGCATGCATGAGCTGCACTGTGTGACTGGTCCCGCAGTCTTCCTGTGCTCTCCAATGATCAGACTTCTGCTTACCCCCCCCCCCCCCCCCCCCCCCCCCCGCACAGCCTTTTACTGGATGGAAAAATCAGTGTACTGCTGTTTCTCATCCACTAGCTCTTATGCAGATCATAACAGAGGGATGTGATCACTTTAAAATTCTCTCTTTTATATCTACACACAAATGTTTTGCCTTTCATTTCGATTTTAAATTGAAAGTAGGTTTACAATCACTTTATTGAGGAACTTAACTCTCTCAATCAACATTACTACTATTAGCAGCATAAGGATTACATATAGTCAAAACAGATATGAAAGCATATTACATTTACTTGTTTTAAACTTTTTTTTTTTTTTTTTAACATTTCTTCAGTAACTTCCTGGTTCCTATGTCTAGACAAATGCTATCATCCTCCCCAGGAGGAGTTTTCCTCAGTTAAGCACAACCTCTTGCCTACATGTCTGAGCTAATAGCCGATTGATTCCATGAAGTAAATGGTACATTAATCATCTGCCCTTACTTATGATGGCTGCGGCCAGAAATGCTAGGGGGTGTTTTTCAAAGTGATTTCTCAGTAAAGTAAACATGGAGGCATGGATGGATGGTGGTGTTTTTGGTTTGTGGTGCTCAGATGCAGTGTAGTTTTGCATTAAGTAGGGCATTTATTATTGGGGGTGGGAGGATTAGGCTGGGAAGTGATGCGGTGTAGGCTGGATGGTGCAAGGAGAAAATGTCTGCCAGCAAGAAATAAGGTGGTGTGTGCTGAGGGGGTGATATGAATGTGCTGTAAGTGTGGAGATATGGGTTGCACGGTCATCAGAACAGATGCATTCTGACCAAGAAGGGATGTGCACATGAGGAAGGGGGTCACTGAGGTTGCCAGGGAGAAAAGTGTGCACTGAGAGTAGGAGGGGTGAGGTGCACTAAGCAGGAAGGAGGCATGCTGTGAGCAGGAGTGTTTTACCTTGGGAGGGATATGCGCAAACTAGCTTGCCAGGGAAGAATGCATTTGCTGCAAGTTGGGCTCAGGGCACAGTGTAAGCATTTGAAGAGGAGTGCAGGCAAAGATCTGCTGGCTGGGGAAGGATGTACTGCGCACATGTAGGGTGGTGTCTGCTGTGAGGGGGGTGGAGAAAAATGCGTGTGCCATGACTGGCATTTTTGAGAAAAAAAAAAACCAAACTACTTTTGACTTTCTGCTATTAAGCATGTCCAGTAAAAATAAATAAACTTTCATCATAAATTTAGGCCAAAATGTATTCTGCTACGTGTCTTTGCTAAAAAAAAAAAAAAAAATCCCAATACGTGTAAATTAATTGGTTTACGTGAAAGTTATAGCGTTTACAGGTGGCAGTATAGATACTGGATTTTCTTTATATTTACTAGTAATGGCAGTGATCAGCAACTTATAGTGGGATGGAATTCAGACACTGGGGGGGGGGAACTGTCTGTGTCACGGATATCCCCAGTGACACCAATACAGTGACCAGTGCTAAACAAAAAAAAAAAACCTGGCACTGGGCAGGAAGGGGTTAACATGAGGGGCGATCAAAGGGTTAACTGTATGCTGGGTGTGTTTTACTATGGGTCCGTGTGTTTGTGCTTCACTGTAAGCACGCTGCTTTGCATGGCTGTGGTTTTCACAGCCATGCAAAGAAGTGTGCACGAGCTGACAGGGAGGAGAACTGCTCCGTTTACAAACAGTTCTCCCTGTCGGAGATGCTCGGTAATCACCGGGCACCGGCGAGTAATCACCGACAGCCGCAAATGGCGGCGCAGGTAGGGCGTGTACCCCCTACCCGGAAAAGCAAATTCACGTACAGTATCTCACAGAAGTGAGTGCACCCCTCACACTTTTGTAAATATTTTATTCTATCTTTTCATGTCACAACACTGAAGAAATGACACTTTGCTACAATACATTTGTGTACATTTTGTCCCCTCAAAATAACTCTACACACAGACATTAATGTTTAAAGCGCTGGCAACAAAAGTGAGTACACCCCTAAGTGAAAATGTCCAAATTGGGCCCAGTTAGCCATTTTCCCTCCCCGGTGTCATGTGACTCATTAGTGTTACAAGGTCTCAGGTGTGAATGGAGAGCAGGTGTGTTAAATTTGGGGTTATCGCTCTCACTCTCATACTGGTCACTGGAAGTTCAACATGGCACCTCATGGCAAAGAACTCTGAGGATCTGCAAAAAAGAATTGTTTGTTTCTCTACATAAAGATGGCCTAGGCTATAAGAAGATTGCCAAGACCCTGAAACTGAGCTGCAGCACTGTGGCCAAGACCATAGGTGGCTTAACAGGACAGATTCCACTCAGAACAGGCCTCGCCATGGTCGACCAAAGAAGTTGAGTGCACATGCTCAGCGTCATATCCAGAGGTTGTCTTTGGGAAATAGACGTATGAGTGCTGCCAGCATTGCTACAGAGGTTGAAGGGGAGGGGGGTCAGCCTATCAGTGCTCAGTCCATACGCCGTACACTGCATCACATTGGTCCACATGGCGGTCATCCCAGAAGGAAGCCTCTTCTAAAAGATGATGCACAAGAAAGCCTGCAGTTTGAGAGATGATCAAAATTTGCTCATCTTCAAAAACTGGAACCATGTCTGATGGTCTGATGACACCAAGATAAACTTATTTGGTTCAGATGGTGTCAAGCGTGTGTGGCGGCAACCAGGTGAGGAGTACAAAGACAAGTATGTCTTGCCTAGAGTCAACCATGGTGGTGGGATTGTGTCATGGTCTGGGGCTGCATGAGTGCTGCCGGCACTGTGGAGCTACAGTTCATGAGGGAACCATGAATGCTAACATGTACTGTGACATACTGAAGCAGAGCGTGATCCCCTCCCTTCGGAGACTGGGCCGCTGGGCAGTATTCAAACATAACGACCTCAAAAACACCTCCAAGACCACCACTGCCTTGCTAAAGAAGCTGAGGGTAAAGGTGATTGACTGGCCAAGCATGGTGAACTCCATGCCCAAGTGGGTTAAGGCAGTACTGGAAAATAATGGTGGCCACAAAAAATATTGACACTTTGGGCCCAATGTGGACATTTTCACTTAGGGGTGTACTCACTTTTGTTGCCAACGGTTTTAGACATTAATGGCTGGGTGTTGAGTTATTTTGGAGGGGACAGCAAATTTACACTGTTATACAAGCTGTACACTCACTACTTACATTGTAGCAAACTGACATTTCATCAGTGTTGTCACAAGAAAAGATACAATAAAATATTTACAAAAATGTGAGGGGTGTACTCACTTCTGTGACATACTATCTATATATATATATATATATATATATATATATATATATATATATATATATATATAGTCAGGGCATAAATATTGGGACATCTACACAATTCTAACATTTTTGGCTCTATACACCACCACAATGGATTTGAAATGAAACAAACAAGATGTGCTTTAACTGCAGACTGTCAGCTTTAATTTGAGGGTATTTACATCCAAATCAGGTGAACGGTGTAGGAATTACAACAGTTTGCATATGTGCCTCCCACTTCTTAAGGGACCAAAAGTAATGGGACAGAATAATAATCATAAATCAAACTTTCACTTTTTAATACTTGGTTGAAAATCCTTTGCAGTCAATTACAGCCTGAAGTCTGGAACGCATAGACATCACCAGACGCTGGGTTTCATCCCTGGTGATGCTCTGTCAGGCCTCTACTGCAACTGTCTTCAGTTCCTGCTTGTTCTTGGGGCATTTTCCCTTCAGTTTTGTTTTCAGCAAGTGAAATGCATGCTCAATCGGATTCAGGTCAGGTGATTGACTTGGCCATTGCATAACATTCCACTTCTTTCCCTTAAAAAACGCTTTGGTTGCTTTTGCAGTATGCTTTGGGTCATTGTCCATCTGCACTGTGAAGCGGCGTCCAATGAGTTCTGAAGCATTTGGCTGAATATGAGCAGATAATATTGCCCGAAACACTTCAGAATTCATCCTGCTGCTTTTGTCAGCAGTCACATCGTCAATAAATACAAGAGAACCAGTTCCATTGGCAGCCATACATGCCCACGCCATGACACTACCACCACCATGCTTCACTGATGAGGTGGTATGCTTAGGATCATGAGCAGTTCCTTTCCTTCTCCATACTCTTCTCTTCCCATCACTCTGGTACAAGTTGATCTTGGTCTCATCTGTCCATAGGATGTTGTTCCAGAACTGTGAAGGCTTTTTTAGATGTTGTTTGCAAGCTCTAATCTGGCCTTCCGTTTTTGAGGCTCACCAATGGTTTACATCTTGTGGTGAACCCTCTGTATTCACTCTGGTGAAGTCTTCTCTTGATTGTTGACTTTGACACACATACACCTACCTCCTGGAGAGTGTTCTTGATCTGGCCAGCTGTTGTGAAGGGTGTTTTCTTCACCAGGGAAATAATTTTTCGGTAATCCACCACAGTTGTTTTCCGTGGTCTTCCGGGTCTTTTGGTGTTGCTGAGCTCACCGGTGCGTTCCTTCTTTTTAAGAATGTTCCAAACAGTTGTTTTGGCCATGCCTAATGTTTTTGCTATCTCTCTGATGGGTTTGTTTTGTTTTTTCAGCCTAACGATGGCTTGCTTCACTGATAGCGACAGCTCTTTGGATCTCATCTTGAGAGTTGACAGCAACAGATTCCAAATGCAAATAGTACACTTGAAATTAACTCTGGACCTTTTATCTGCTCATTGTAACTGGGATAATGAGAGAATAACACACACCTGGCCATGGAACAGCCGAGAAGCCAATTGTCCCATTACTTTTGGTCCCTTAAGAAGTGGGAGGCACATATGCAAACTGTTGTAATTCCTACACCGTTCACCTGATTTGGATGTAAATACCCTCAAATTAAAGCTGACAGTCTGCAGTTAAAGCACATCTTGTTAGTTTCATTTCAAATCCATTGTGGTGGTGTATAAAGCCCAAAAAGGTTAGAATTGTGTCGATGTCCCAATATTTATGGACCTGACTGTACATACACACACACGTGATTTTGCGCAGCCATGCCACCCTGTAGCAGTATATCTGCTATAGGGCGGTTGGGAAGCGGTTAACGTAAAACTAAAAAGGCAACACTTTTTTTATTTATTTTTTTTATTAGTTATGTGCAGAGTGGACATTGATTAAAACACCCATCAGGTGTTCCCCATTTGACCTGTTTACCATTACCATCAAAAGTGAAAGTAAAAGAAACCTCACATTTGGATTGTACTCGGAAAAGTAATAGATGGAAAATTTTCCAGTGGGGACACTAGTTCTGATGACCTGAAGGTCCCTAAATTTTGAAGATATTTTCTCACTTCCTGTTTTAGCTATGGGACAAGAAGTGAAGATAAAACTCCATGGGACACAGATGGTAAAAAAAATAAACTGACGGGTTATAACCCTCCCTAACTCTGTCCAAAATAAAAACAAAAAGTTTTGCCACTTAAAAAAAAAAAAAAGGGAGAGTTGAGTGGGATGGGAGCACTGATAATGAGTCTGATAGCTATAGTGATATTTGCTTATAGTGATTGTGACCTGCTGAGGGGGACACAGATGTGCTGGAGGTCTGCTTGAGGGGGGGGGGGGGGGGGGGGGGGGGGGGGGGGGGGGGGGGGGGAAAGAGTAGTGGTGGGGCACTTCTGTTGCAGAGATCTCCTGGAGGGGAAGCCACCACCACTGTATTGCTTCTGTTGAGCCATCTGATGGTGCAGAGCAATGGCTTACTTGGTGGTCCTCCATGCAAAGATCTTACAAACCCGTCCTATTACTTTCTTCATAAGGTTTCCTCCCATCACCCAGATGGCAAGCTGCATTGGCAGTAAATATCCAGTTTCTTCAGGAGTGAAGCCAAACTCATTACAGACAGCCTACGTAGCTGCAGAAACTGCAGATCTGTGGAGTAGACTTTGGAGGCAGCAACAAGTCACTGCTGCAGGTGTAGATGTACAGTAGTGCAGCAGGCACTGGTGGTGGTTGCAATCTTATCGATGTCAGGGTTGGGTTAGTCTACTGTGTCTTTCAACTATGCTACCTGGGAACCAGAAAGGTGCTAACACTGCTACCTTACATCATTACTGGCCAGATCAGGCTCACTTTGACAATTAAAAATAAAAAGAATTGAAGTGCGTGTTGCTATTAGCCAAATCATTTCTCTTTTAATTTACTGGATGTAGTTCTGGTAGGTTAAAATTACTAGTTTGGTGGAAGGGGATATAAAAGTTCCTCCTGTGTTTCCACAGTGAAGAAGAAAAGTACAAAGAATGTGAAGCAATGGTGTGCTTCCTGTCAAGCTTACTTCTGTTGGCAATTTGCGATTTATTTTTATTATATGAATATGGTTTCAAGTAATATTTTCCATTTTAGGTTTCAGTAGGTGAAAAAATAAAAAACAGGAAATGACAAAGAATCATGCACATATTGCAAAAGGTGTTTTATGTTAGTTGGTGTGCACATCAAAGCTAAGAAAACCTTACATCAGCTGTTATGCAACATGAAAGAATCAACTATTTCCTGCCAACACAGCTTGCCATCTGGGTGATGGGAGGAAACCTTATGAAGAAAGTAATCAGATGGGTTTGTAAGATCTTTGCATGGAAGACCACCAAGTAAGCCAAGCAGGCCTATTTTGGAGGTGGAGCTTATCTTGTGCACATGGGGAAAAGTACTCTGATAAGAAGAGTAGCAAGTCTGTGTTCATGATCTTGTTGTGGATGTTCATATTCATCTTGGATTAAAAGCAGCTGTTTTTTTTTTTTTGTTTTTTATTTTTAAGTGACAATAAAAGGTTGGATTTACTGTTTGTTTTAAGGCCTATTTTATAAAAACTGGTACAAAACAAAAAACCATGCCTGTTGCTTATAGTAGCAAATAAACATTTCATTTGTTAGACTGCAGATCCCCTGTACAGAATATGGGTGTATGCAAATACGTTCTCATGTTTGTGTTTGCAAAGCCATATACATGAGTACAGCAATGCACAGCTATGCATTTCAATGGGCTGCCTAGGAGGAGGAAATGTGCTGGCAATTAAGTTTACTGGGTTCAAACACCCATGTGCAAAAGTTGTAAAATACTTTCAAAGTTTCTTATTAATGCATGAGTATACACACAAAAAAAAAAAATTAGCCAATAAGCTTAAAAAAAAAAAAAAAAAAAAAAACACAACCCGGAACTATACTGTAGAACAATGGTATCCAAACTGCAGCCCAGGGGCCAGATGTGGCCCTTTGCCTGCCTTTATCTGGCCCTTGGGGCACTATTTCACGAACTGATGCAAATGGTAGGACACCATTGCCCCGACTGACACCATCAGTGGGGCACTATTCCTCCCATTCATACCAACAATGGGGCACTATTCCTCCCATTAAAACTAATGATGGGGCATTGTTGCTGGGGCATTTTCTACTCCCACTGGCAAAGTCCAGCCCCCTTGAAGCGTAAAGGACAGTAAACTGACGCTTAGGAGAGTGGCCCTCAACCTGTAGCCCTCGGAGCCCACTGATGTGGCCCTTGACCTCAAACTAGGGCAAAACACAGCAGCCTACCGGTCACATTCTGTTTTACACTTGGACAGGAGGGGCAACATACAGGAACAGATACTCTATTTTCTTCCTGCAACCTTTGAAATCTGGCTTCTCCTCCTATCCCTCCCACCAGCATTCAGCAGCTGTACGAGGAAAATGTTCATTATGCAATTTGAAATTATGAACTATTTATTTTCATCGTTGCCCGTGACTGTTTACTAAATCACTTAAGTGGCTCTCATTCCTCAAACAAAGGGCCATATCCAGCCCTCAGGCCGCAGCTTGGCAACCACTGCTCTAGACCAGGGGTCTCCAAATGGCAGCTTGAGGGCTGGAGGTGGCCCTTTGTTGGCTTTTATTCAGCCCTTGGGGCACTACTTTATCAACTACCACCAAAAAAGGGGCACAATTCCCACCAACGATGGTACACAATTCCCTCCAATGACATGAACGATGGAGCATAGTTCCTCCCAATGACACCAAGATTGGGACACAGTTCCTCTCACTGACACCAAAGATGGGTCATGTTTACTCCCACTGATGCTGGGACATTTGACTTTAGGAGGGCCTGACTGGCCATCGGGAGTAGAAAAAGACCGAAAACTGGCCCCTTTGCTTAGAAAGTTTGCAGACCCCTGCTGTAGAAGGAAAAGCCATACCATGTCTCTTCTGGGATAAAATAAAAAACTTTCCTGCCCGTTTCTGGTATACCTTGATACTGGAATGCATAAACTGCTGTGTGCATAAGCTAGAGTTATGTCATGTTGGCCCAGTCAATCAAGATAGTCAAAAATCCTGAACCCAGGAGATGACCAAGTGAAGATGTTGGCAATGGCAAGGCAAGTTCCGCTTTAAAGTAAATTTAAACCCCAACTCTATGACCTTTAATTTGCTAAAGCACTGTAATAAACAATTGTATGTTTTTGCCATAACATATGGTTACTACAGGCTTACTTCAGCCTCTCTTTCAGCCACTTCCTGCATATCACTGATCCGGTTTCTTGGTAGTTGCAAAAATGGACCATGCCTAGGCAAATCTGTGTTGGCACGGCTGATTATAGTTCAAGAGAAGCATCCAATCTCATTGCTAGGCAAACTTGCTTTTTTTTTTTTTTGTTTATTTTTTTTACTCCAATAAGCAGCCGCCAGGTCATTCCCATCCTGTAGCTCACAAACAAAGGCGGGCCTATCTCTGCTTTTAGTCTCCACCACAGGCATGTGTCATCATGATGATAGAGGAGTACAACTGGGAGAGATATGTGACCCTATAACAGACGTTGAACAATGTTTTGTAGTTTTACATGCAAGATTCACCTGAAACTACAGAAATTGCATGTAGACAAAGTAATGCATGTATGCATACGAGCACTTTCTTAAAATGCATAAGAAATGTACATACAGTACCTCAAAAAAGGGGGGACCTTAGTACCCAATCTGTAGTGACAGAAACCTTTTACTTTGCAATGCCTGCTAAACTTAAAAAAAAAAAAAAAAAAAAAAAAAAAAAAAAAAAAAAAAAAAGGTATTGCTTCAGCAGAAATGGCAGTTAAACCATAACTCACATGCTGGCTTCTGCACATCATGCCATTTGTTAATGAAAGAAAAACTAATGCTTTTATATTTATGTGCATTGGGGACCGCCAGAATAAATAGCATCATCGGAATGAATGAAAATAGGTTTGTTCGCATAGTGTAAAATTTGTGCCTGCATTTGTAGCAAACTGGCTTCATGTGCATTCTTTCACTGCTCAGATTATGTGAATTATGGTAAACGGTACCATCAGTCTAAAAATCATTGGATAACAACTAGAGACTCTTGGGGGAAGGGGGGGAGAAGAGGATCAACTCACCTGTAAAGGATGTTACGTGGTACAGCCCCATGGGAGACACTCAACCAGGCGCTCAGCTGGGAAAAGAAAACATAGGAACGGACTGCTAGCAGCAGGGGTCTTTTCTTCAATGAAACGATCTCCACTCCTAACATATAAAAACATTACACTTGGTGAAATATACTTCTAAAACTATAGTCTGTTTCTGTAATAGTGTAAAAATGGATTACGTTCTGCAGCTGGAGTAAAACAATTACAATGTACCATTACAAACACAAACATTTCAAGAAAAAAAAATATCATGGGGAACATTTTGTCCCCTTTCCCGGTGTATCCAATCCTATGACAGATAATAACACTGCGTGTGACTTTAACCAGAAGCATACCACATGCTGGGAAATTCTGCAGGCTCTCAAAAAGAGAATGAGCACGTGTTGTACAAGGAAAGTAGCTGCTGTGATTAGTCTGGAAGTATCCGCTTTGCTGATCTGCAGTAAATCAAATTGGTCTTTTCTAGTGTATTTTGATGCAGCAATCTGTTTCTGCAAATGCATCAATGTGCACGACCTGAAATTTTCTTTTTTTTTTTTGATAAACAAGACAGCTCTATAAAAAGTTGATATATAAAAAAAGTGTGGATCAAATAAGAAAGGTAGGGATATTTACTGGTAATAAGTAGGGATGAGCTTAGGCATGTTCAGACAAATCCAAACTGCCCATACTGATTAAATGCATTAGGGTAGAGCCAGGCTTCATATATGTTGATCAGCAACATTCAGCGGCTGTGCGAGACACAGACAGGAGTGCTTGCTACTCGCTGATGTGGTCCACTGGGGGACATTTTGGATGCTTTGTTGTACAATTTAAATGGGAGTATATAAAGGGTCCATGCACACTGAGGTTAAAAAACCTCCAGTTCTATTGGCTGGAAAAAAAAAATCACTTTGTTTTTCTGCCAGAAAAATCCTCCCAAAAACGCAAACCAGAAGGGTTTTTTTTTTCTGTCCTCTAAAAACGCATAGCTTAAAATATGCCTCTAAATGTCTTGATGTACATTATGGTCACTGAGCTACTTCTACAGACAAAAATGCCTAACTCCTGTAGAAGCAGTGTTTTTTTTGAAGCCCAGTGTGCATGGACCCAAAATGGTTTAGGGTAGGGGTCTCCAAACTATGGCCCTGCAGCTGTTGAAATACCATAAGTCCCATCATGCCTCTGCAAGTCTTGCCTGTGGCTGTCAGTCTTGCAAGGCCTCATGGGACTTGCAGTTCAACACCTGGAGGGCCATGGTTTGGAGACCCCTGGTTTAGGCTTTTAATCCTACTGTATCACACTATGGATGTTTCTTACTAAAATTGCATGGTGCAAAATCTGGTGCAGCTCTGCATAGAAACCCATCAGCTTCCAGGTTTTTTTGTCAAAGCCTAACTGAACAAGCTTGAGTTGGAAGCAGACTGGCTACCATGCACAGCTGCACCAGATCGCTCCAGTTTTAGTAAATCTCCCCCTATGTATGGCCTCTCTTTGTAGGCTCTCTGGTGGAGAGAATACATGTAGACATTAGACTGCTCAGTGGGATCCTATAAGTGCAACTTCCATATTTGTGAAGGTGTGGCAATATTAGGGGAGTGCAGCAAGTGCTGCTTGATTTGGAGTGGAGTGACGAAAGAAGCTTTGCTACAATTGATTTTTCATTTTTTTTTTTGGGGAAACTATCACTTTGTATCAGGTTCAGCTTATTCTGGGACACTGTTGGTTCTTGAGAGGGTATATGAAGTATATGTAAACTATTAGCACATATTTAGTTTAGAAAACTGTTAATGGCAATTTTATCTGTACGGTTAAAATTTTCAACTTTTCAGAAAATCCCACAATATCCCTGGTGAAAACCGCTGTGAACTGCAAAACACGTCAGCATGTTATCAGTAGGACAGAACATTAACCATGTATCAGTATGGTCTTTTGAAAGTTGATGTGTATTGCATGTATTAGTGTTTACACAGCGGCCTTTCACCAGTAATTTCAATGGGATCCAATAAACATGGTTTTATTTAATTGTGTTGTGATTTAGTACACTACCTTTAACCCCTTTGCTGCCACAGACATTTTTGCATTTTTTGCACACATTTTAAAAGTTATTTCATACCTGAAGGATTACACAACTTCTCAAAAAAAAAAAAAAAAAAAAAAAAAAAAAAACTTTTTTTGTCATCACATGGGGACACAAGTCCCCATGTGATAAATTTGAAGTGACAGGTTCTCTTTAATGAGACATGCAGGGCCTAAAAGACCCTGCATGTCTCCTCTGGGAGCCACTTGATGTATAGTAATGGAAAGTGACAGCCATGGTGTCACAGAAAGAAGGGAAGGAGAGCGAACAACGTTTGTCCGCTCCGGTACCAGGGGCTATAGAAGCAATCAGGCATTAGAGCAGCTGCCCGACTGCTTCCACCTGACAGACAGGAGGAGTCTACCTATCAGTTTTAGAAAATTCCAGTGGCTTCAGCCACTGGATTGTGTATAAACACAATCCACAATGTATGATGTACAGACCTGGCGGCAAAAGGGTTAAAGTCCCTTAGCATTGCAGGATTTTTTTCTTTTTTGTTCTCTTGATTTATCAGGATGTGGCACCATACGTCTACTCCCCAAGATGTGGCAAACTTGATTTTTGTATAAAACATCCAATTTAAAAAAAAAAAAAAAAAAAAAAAAAAAAAAGTTTCTTCATAAATTTTAGACCAAAATGTATTCTGCTATATGAAAAAAAATAAAAAATAAATATATATATACTGGAAATTTTTATACTAGTAATGATTGTGATCAGTGACTTATAGTGGGATGTCCAGCGTCGATCTGACACTAACAATGAGTGGGAGCTGACTGACTAGGACACCAATACAGTGATCACTGATAATACTGCACACTGTCACTGTACTGATGACACTGGCTAGGAAAGGGGTTAACATGTTGGGTAATCAAAGTGTTAAATGTGTGCCTAGCAATGTGCGCTTTTTACTGAATACCGCTGTTTCTTCTCCCTGCTTTCGCAGGGAGAAGAAACAAAAAATTGTTCCCTTTGATCATCAACACAGGGTTCTGGGCTGTGATTGGATAGAACTGATCAGCAGGTCCTGCCAATGAATCATTGGTCAGGACTTGCTGGCTAACTCCCGCTGTGTACAATCAGCCCAGCCCCATACAGTTACATCAGTGTACTTGTAGGGGCCACCTGTCTGCAGTACATTAGATTATATATAAAATAAAAAAAGGAACATACATGCACTTGTGCTGTATTTAACTAGACTATTTGTTCCGGTTTATTTATACTGTACATCTGAGTTGTGATATTACTTTTTTTTTTCTTGTGTTTAAATTAGCTTTAACGTGTTGTGTGCAAGTAAAAAAAAATAAATCTAAAAACACTACAAAACATTATCCACTGTTAAATATAATTTGTGTTTATGTAATCACACCCTAGTCACCTGATTTACTATGGGACTGAATCTTAATTGGTTACATGTTACACAACTCTGTTAGAACCTGAGACATTTAGACAAAAAGGATGCACCAATGGCTTTTTTGGGGAACAGAAAAGCAAACTGCCGTGACCAAAAAGAGTATTTATGAAAATAAATTCTTACTTTCTGCATTTGCAGACCTGTGGCAGTACTTGGCACAAGAACAATTCAATACACAGAAACAAAGAAGTCAGGGCAAACTTGCAAACCGTTTACGATAACAAAGACTGTAAAGGAAAAGGAAACGCACTGTCTAGGAACTGGCTCCAGGGTCCACCTCTCCAGCAAGAGGGCATCTTGTTTCATCGCAGGATCATTTAAAACATTCCCTTCTGTGCCTGAACCTTCATCGCTATAGCAACAGTCTGGTAGCAGCATCACCTCCACCATGATGGGAATATCATTTCTCCACAGCAGGGTGACCTCAGACCTAGTTTTTCTAGCTTGACGACACTACAGGAGAGAAAAATAAAGTGTTAGCACAAGCACTAAAATGGTTTAAAAGCTCAACTCTGGGGAAGTACAAAATATTTCCTTGCACCGAGTCTGCCTTTACACTGCAAGGATTAAAGGCTCATTTATGTCTTGGGAACAAGAAAAGCAGTTTTACTTTCTCAATCCTCTGCTCCCCTGGAAGATGGTGCCCCCCTAAACTCCATCAGTATCCTTAAGTCCAATGCAGCAGTATGGGCCCTACATTTGCCTTAAATGACATCAGAAGGCACCCAAGCATATAGGAAGAAGAGGCTACAGGGACTGGTCTTGCAGCATGGGAGGATGGAGTGCGTATATTGCTTTTCCTGGTCCCCTAGACCTAAGCAAGCATTTAACCTTTGCAGTGCGAAGGCAGCCTCATTTAAAAAAAGGTAACATTTTTACTTTCCCCAGATGTCAAGCCTTAAAACACTTTACATTCAGTTACAAGGATTTCAGTGCTAACAGCAACCTGCAGTATAATGATCATTTCTGGAACAAATTAAACTCAATAAAAAAGGACCAGTTGATGTTGAGGCAAAGGATCAAAGGTTCCCAGTCCGATGGCTGCTGCTTCTCAGCTTCCTGACCTCACACAGTACCCCATCTGCTGTGCTTGAGGCAGCAGCTGTCAAACCTCAGGTGACCTTTCCCCCGTACACTCCAGCCAAAGCAAATAAAACGAAAGGAGTAAAATATAATTTCATAGATCAATCTGCAGCATAAACCCAGTCATGACTTCACAGAAAAGGTGTGTGTGTGTAGTATAATATATAGAAGAGAATCCCCCTTAAAAATAATCACATTTTGTGGCTTTGCAGCCTGAAATAAAGACACACAATTTTTTGTTTTTCCCAGCTGTATTTGATATAACACCAACATGTCAAAAAAAATAAAAAAATAAAAAAGCAGAATCACTGATTTAGAAAAAAGGATCATTATTATACAGGATTTATGGCGCCAAACGTTTGCGCAGCGCTTTACAATATAACGGAAGACAATACAGCAACAATACAGATCATCCCCTTTTATCAGTATTTTGTTGAATCACCTCTTGCTTTACTGACAGCCTTTAGGCAGTTTGGTAAGTCTCTACTAACTTTGCAATATTTTCCCACTTTTCTTTGCAGAACTGCTAAAGTTAAGTTAAATTTGATGGACTGAAGTCTTCAAGTCATTCCACAGATTTTCAATGGTGTTTAAGTCTGGGCTTTGACTAGGCCATGCATGGACATTCACCTTCAACCACTGTGGTCATTTTTGCTGTGTGCTTTTGGTCACTCATGTTGGAAGGTAAGCCTTCCCATTGACAACTTTCTGGCAGGGCAGCAGATTTTCCTCACGAATGTGATGGTATTTTGCCCCATACATTTTTCCTTCTATCCTGACGAGTGCTGCAGTACCTGCTGCAGAGAAACCCCCCATAACAGGTTATTACCACCTCCATACTTTATTGTAAGAATGGCATTATTTGGATGGTGAGCTGTACACTGTGTACACAATTAGGCAAGTTGTTCAATTGAAATGAATCCTCAAAAATTGAACAACTACAGTGCTCTCAGTCAAGCCAAAATGTTTATAAAAACACAAATCTGAATATTTAAGAAAAGTAAAAGTGAGGTTTTGGCTTTCTTAGGAAAATATTTTGTGTACAGAATTATTGGGCAACTATTTGTGTGCAGAATTATTATGCAACTAAATTAAAAAAGAAAAATTCTTCTCACTTTAACAGATGAAAAAAAACAAGCGAGAGAATAATAAAACAACTCAAGATTTACAAATAAACCTGACATTTAACCCCCCCCCCCCTAAAAAAATGTATCAGTGACCAATATAGCCACCCTTCTTTTCAAGAACAGCCATAAGCCTTCCATTCATGGAGTCTGTCAGTTTCTTGAACTGTTGACAATCGACTTTCTGCAGCAGCAACCACAGCCTCCCAGAAACTGTTCAGAGAGGTGTACAATTTTCCTTCACTGTAAAGTCTCCCATTTAAGAAGGGCCCACAAGTTCTCAATAAGGTTTAGGTCAGGTGAGGGGGCCACGTCATTCTTTCATCTTTACTAGCTGGCCATGCAGTGGAGTACTTTGATGCATGTGATGGACAATTGTCCTACAGAAATATCATGGTCTTCATGAAAGATGCAGACTTTTCTGTACCACTGCTTGAAGAAAGTGTCTTCTAAAAACTGGCAGTAGGTTTGGGAGTCGATTTTGAGTCCATCTTCAACCCAAAAAAACGTCCAACTAGCTCATCTTTAATACCAGGCCACAGAAGTACCCCCATCTCCACCATGCTGGCGTTTGAGTCAAAATGGAGTTCTGTGCCCTTTAATGATCCAGCCACGGGCCCATCCATCTGGTCCATCAGTCACTCTCACCTCGTCCGTCCATAGAAAGAAAAAAAAAAAAAAAAAGAAGTATTGTTTTTAAGATGTTTTTTGGCATGTCTGAGCACTGAACACCTTCAATTTCTGGGCAGTCCAGGCAGGTTGCAGTTCTGGAATATGACAACACTGGAGGATAATGGGTTCCTGGTAGTTTCAAGTTTGATTCTTCTCAAATCTTTCACAGTTAATTTGCATCTTTCTCAACATGTTTCCTACAACCCTGTTGACTATTTGCAACAAAACGTTTGAGGGTTCTGTGATCACACCCAATGTCTTAGTGATTGTGCTGCATCCCTCTGAAAGACTCTAAAATTTTTGACTTTTCACAGTCGGTTAAAAATCTTTTTGGCCCATTTCTGCCAGAAAAAAAAAAAAAAAAAAAAAGCTGCCTACCAATTACGCACACCTTGATATAGGGTGTTGATCTCCTTAGGCCACACTCACCCTCATTACACATCTGATATGCTTAAATCCAACAAGCATTCAAGTTTATATAGCTTGGAGTTGGTCAAAACACTCGCTTGCACAATAATTGTGCACGGTGTATTGGATTTCCAGACATGGTTTAGTGTGGAGGCCAAATAATTAAATTTTAGTATAGTTGGACCAGAACACCTTGATCAATGTGACCTCAGAATCTACAAAGTGCATTTTGACAAAGCTCAGTCGTGACTGCATGTTGCCTTTCTTGAGAAGGGGCTTTTTTGCTACCCTCCGATACAAGCCACATTTGTCGAGAATTGGAGATATTGTTGTCACATGCACACAATGACCACTCTTTTCTCAAATTCCTGCAACTACTTCAGAATTGCTGTAGGCCTCTTGGTAGCCTCTCTGACCAGTTTCCTCCTGGCTCTTTCATCCAGTTTGGAGTGATGCCCTGATCCAGGGAGGGCCTGTGTTGTACCAAATACCTTCCACTTCTTAATAGACTTCACTGTGCTTCTAGGCCATGATAAAGCCTTTGAAAGGTTTTTGACTCTATCTCCTGACTTGTGCCAGTCCACAACTTTATCCTAGAGATCTTTTAACAGTGCTTGGCAACCCATAGCTGATGGTTTGCTTTTGTTGCACTATCAGGTACTGAAACGCTCCAGGAAAGCCATTTTTATGTTGAGCTAATGAAAATGACCACAGCTGATCACAGTTGATTGTCAAATGGCTTTGTGTGCCATTGAGAAGGTGATTAGCTACACCTGGCTGAATTCACAAGTCATTTTTAAGAGGGAGTGATCCTTTTTTCCCAACTCAGTGATTCTGTTTTTGATTTTTTGTTTTCTTACGTGTGTGTTGTAGCAATCGTGCACACCGAGATGGACGAGGTCATCCATCTTGTTAAGAATCTTCCATTTTGTATCATCTCTCTCCCAAATCAGGCTTCCTCCTCCAATTTCCCCCCTCCCTCAGTAATGTGGTCTGTGTGTGTTTGCGGAGTTCAAAAGGCAACAGGCCCCAGTGGGACAGCTCCAGGGCTGTAAATCCCACACTAGCTAAGTGCCCCTCTGTCTGCAAGACCCTTGCTGGAGAAGGGGTCATCAAGCCATAAACCAGCCCTCACAGAGCTTCAAAAGACATTCCAGGTGGTCATAAAAACAGACTTACATTTTAAAACCCAGGTTTTCCAAATAATTTTATATCTCCAAATAGGAAATAATTACGCAAACATGGAACACATATTCGGATGGCTCACTGTAAGACAAGTCGCCGGGTATATTACACCCCCTGACATTCACAGGAGAGCAGAAAACTTTATCTCCTTAACCATTCAAGCAGATATTTCATATCTAACCATTCAGCAGATGATTCTGGGTATTAATCTACCCGTGGATAGAATGTTATATGTACCGAGGAAAAGTTATTGGCCATAGTATAATTTGGGAAGGCTTTGGTCAAAGCTTGAGCTCCCCGCCTACACAACCCCCTCCCCAAATGAGGCGATTGGTTCTCTGAGTCAGGGAGACACCCTGTGGAGTTTCTAGAAAAGCTAAGCTAAGTTGAGCTAGTTGAAGAATTCTCCCTTTTTAACATCGGAACCAACTTTGGGAGAAAACGCCCTTTTGCTCAGAAAACGTGAAAGCTGCTTAACCCAAGGCTTTTGGCAAGTACTTTATCTAAATTCCTGTTATCTCTTTGCTGTGCTATTGCTTTCTGTATATATATATATATATATATATATATATATATATATATATATATATATATAGGCTACATCTTTTTCTGTAAACATTTTTATTGCACCCTTTTGACCTTTTAGTAATTAATCTTACTTTCTGAAAGTGTTGAACTGTTTCTAAAGCTCTTTAATGCAAACTCAGAACCCCTGCCTCTGAAAAGCGCTACTGTGTGTTTTAAACTTCGGTATATCGTTGCCTGCGGTGATAGTGGTATACCGACGAATATTCAAACATCAGTGTTATTGCTGTGTTTCCTCTTTCACTGTACAAAAAGAAAAAAAAAAAAAAAAAAAAAAAAAAAGGAAGGAGGTGGTGGCAGTCTAAAGGGTTAATTGCGTAATTAACCTGACCCAGTAACAATCACTCAGGCTGCAGGTACATAGATTGTGGTCCATTAGCTGAAAAATCGTTGTGCAGGGTGCAGCTGGCCTTGGCATTCTTACGCACGTGGCAGCGCGGTTTTAGATTGGCTAGTCCTTCGGTCACGAGTTTGGTGAGAAGGGCTGGGATCTGATGCCGCGATCATCACGTGTGTGTGTATATCTCTATATCAGGGCTTGACAAATCCCAGAAGACAGATCATTATGGGGACTAGATATTGCGCCATGGTGCCTGGGTTCACAAACTGCCTCCCACTGACTTCATGTAGGATTGCTATTGACAGACGTTTTTGCATTGAACATTCTGCATGCCACTCTACCCCATCATCAGGGGAGGACTGACCATTTGGAAACTCGGGCACTGCCCGAGGGCCCGGGGTCAGTAGGGGGGCCCATGAGATGCCCCTGGTACCTTTTTCATAGGCTTTTTTGCTTTTGGGCAAGGACACAGGGGTCCCATGATCCCCTATTGCCCGGGGGCCCCATGAGTTGTCAGTCCGCCCCTGCCCATCACTTGAGAGTCTTTGCACCGCTACAAACTTACACAGGGTCCTTTTTTGTAATGGCACTCAAAGCACAATGCATGTGGATCGCATCTGTGTGAACCACCTCAATAGGAACACATAATATCTACCCTGTCATGTGAAACAGTTTGTAAAAGCATCCAGAATCACATGTGTGAACCAGGGTGGCTCCATTCACACCCGGACGTTTTGGGAATGCAGAATAACTGTGAACACAAAAAGGCAGGTTTTCAATGGCACCTAAAACGTGGTGTGCTTTTGCTGTGACTGTCATATCGCGTGAAGCTTGTCGCCCAAATGTTGCCTTGCCCTGGGCACTGACCCATAACCCAAAGCTCACTGTCCCATCTCCACACAGGAACTCTGGAGCTCAGTCACAGTGACCATCAGGTTCTTGGTCACCTCTTTTTCCTTCTCCCCTTACTCACTTTGGCTGGGCAACCAACTCTTGGGAGAGTCCTGGTTGTGCCAAACGTATTCCATTTGAGGCCACTGTGCTCTTGGGAAACTTCAATGCAGCAGAAGTTTTTTTTTTTGTAGCCTTCCCCAGATCATTGTCTTGCAATAATCCTGTTTCTGAGCTCTGCAGGCAGTTCCTTGGACCTCGTGGCTTTGGTCTGATACAGTAATTGTCAGCTGCGAGCCTTTTTTATAGAGAGGTGTGCATCTTTCCAAATCATGTCCAATCAATGTAATTTGCCACAGGTGGACTCCAATGAAAGTGTAGAAAAATCCCAGACATGATCAAGAGCAATGGGAGGCACCTGAGCTAAAATTTAATGTGCTGTTGCAAAGTGTCTGAATACTTGTGCCAATGTGATATTTCAGTTTTTATTTTTAATAAATTCACTGACATTTCAAAAAATGCGTTTTCACTTTGTCATTATGGGGTACTGAGCATAGATTAAGGAGAAGAAAAAAAGGATATAAAAAAGATATCCAAAGCCTTGAATAAGCCAGTCAGTACTGTTCAATCACTTACTAAGAAGTAGAAAATTCAGGGATCTCTTGGTACCTAGCCAAGGTAAGGTAGACCAAGAAAGACTGCAGCCTCAACTGCCAGAATTGTTCGGGATACAAAAAAAACCCCACAGGTAACCTCTGCCACTTTGGCAGACGGCTTGTAAAGTTTCAACGAACTGTGAGGGAGCTGGTGAGCACTCTTAGTTCATTAATCTTCTTGGACGTCAGTAACTCCCTGCCCATACAGGAGGTACGGAGGCAAAAAAAAGAGTAAGGAGTCTGCAGGAGCTTGACTGTGCACCCACAAATACTTTACAGGCTCCTAAGAAAACAAATAAGAAAATAAATGCACTTTACCTACAAAATATGTGTATTTGGTATTTTTTAAAACCTTTAACAGAAATGCATTGTAATCAGGCCTTATTATTTATATTTAGATTCTCCTAATAAGACCTAGTCATTAGGCCTTCTTGAAAAATTCACACGCTCAATTGTAAGTGCTGGCGTTAGGGTAAATGGACTCACCTGGGCCAACTTATCACTGCATTCATGCTTGTTGGGTCCAGGCTGACTAGAATGTGCTGGAGGGCAGTGGAGACCTTCTGTTCTGCCTTTTACCGAATGTTCAGGTGTGCGCCCTTCTGTAACCAGTAGAGCCAGGTATACCAGGAAGTCCTCCGCCTCATACTCAAAGAATTCATCCATAGAATCTAGGAAAAAGCAGATGGCATACAAAATCAGTCAGGAGAGCATGTCTAATCCACAGAAACCTCACTGCTAAAGTCACCAAGCTGAGCTATCCAATTGAAAAATTACCATGACGCGCAAAAACCTTTCCACTGCCAGAAAGTCTGCAATATGTTCCTGGCATCAGTGATGTGTTAAAAACGTTGGAACATCTGGTTTTATTTTATCTACACAAACAAAAAATAAGCACCAGAATGTTACTCTTTAATACAGGTTTAGTATTGTAATAAAATAAACTTGAGAAACAATAACAACCAGTAAAGGGATCACATTCCTCATTTCATGGGCATGAGAATGGGCCAGAAACGTGGGTATGATAAAGGGTGAATCAGGGTCACTCCTGCACACTGATCTAGCAGACATGTGGGAGAGCGGTCTGCCTGGAGCAGATAAGAAGGAACCACTGAGTCTGCAATAATTGCTGGGCAGACCCAGACACCACATAATTATTGCTGTGTAGGTAACAAATTCCAACAAAGCATCATGTCAACTTACTTTATTTTTATTATTTAACACACTTTAAAGGATACAAGCTCACAAGATCACCGTTAGAAGGCTTTTTACTAGACTTTCTGAAAGTAAAAGCCTGAAGAAAGGCACAGAGGGTGTATTATGTAGCACCGCCACCCAGCTATAGTAAAATATTAGGATTAAAGTTTCTGTGGTCAAACTTTAGCATTCTGTATTCATTTCCACATTGAATTTCCCTTATTTTTAGCCTACTCCTATCATTCTGATCAATCTTGGAGTCTGGAAAAAAAAAAAGTACTTTGTGAAGATCCTACACATTTACTTCCTTGAAGGGCTAGTTCACACCACATGCGTTTCAGTGTTATTTTATTTCTGCATTCAAAAACGCATAGAAATTAGGTTACATGGTTTTCAATGGCATAGTTCACACCAGTGCTTGCAGTTCCAGTGTGTTCCGCTTCCAGATCAAGAAAAAAAAAAAAAAAAAAGTAGAACATGCCGCATTTTTTTATGCACAGAACTGTACTGGAGCGTGGTAAAAACACAAAAAATACACCAGACCCCAGTACATTGAAAAAAATAAAAATAAAATCTGGAACGCATCAAGGATGCATTGCAGAAATGCATTTTTGTGGTGTGAACTAGCCCAAATTCCATGACACGTATTCACTATGCCATAAGTAGGCACTGCGGTGTCAAAAATTGCAGGGAGCCTGCCTTCTTAACTACATAGGTGCGGAGGAGGAGTTTCAGGCGGTGGGGTCAGTACGAGAATCACTGCCTGCAGGCAGCAAGATACCATGGGATATGTAGTCCTTAATTATTATTATACAGTATTTTTTATAGCGCTAAAAAGGTTTGCTCAGTGCTGTACATTATAGTGGGGGACAGTACATGAGACAATACAATAACAAAACAAAACACGAGGGATTCAAGGGCCCTGCTCTTTTGAGCTTACAATCTAGGAGGGAGGGGATAGTGGTACGGGAGGAAGTGGCTGTGGGGGATAGAGTGGTAGGAGGAGTGGAGGAGATCGGCTGTTAGGTGAGGGTTTTCAGGGTGCGCCTAAAAGGTGAGGAGGGTAGGTGACAGTCTGATGGATTGGGGTAGGGAGCTCCAGAGGATGGGGGGGGGGGGAAGTCCTGGAGAAGTCCTGCAGTCAGGCGTGGGAGGTGGAGACCAGGGAGCTAGAAAGTAGGAGGTCTTGTGAGGAGCGAAGATTACGGGTAGGGTGGTATTTGGGTATCAGGTTGGTGAGGTAGTTTGGGGCAGCATTATGAATGGCTTTGTATGTCAGTGTTAGTAGTTTTAATTTAATGCATTGGGCTATCGGAAGCCAGTGGAGGGAATGACAGAGGGGGGTGGCAGAAGCGGAGCGGTTGGTAAGGTGGATGAGTTTTGGCCGCTGAGTTCAGGATAGACTGAAGCGGGCATAGTCTGATGAGGTAGGCCGGTGAGAAGGGAGTTGCAGTAGTCTAGACGTGAGATAATAAGGGAGTGAACGAGTTGTTTAGTGGTGTCTGGGGTTAGGAACGAATGTATTTTGGAGATGTTGCGGAGGTGGAGTCTGCATGAGTTTGCCAACGATTGGACATGGGGTTGGAAGGACAGGTTTTAGTCTAGAGTGACACCTAGGACTTTGGCTTGCGGGGTGGGACTGATGGTGGCGTTGTTGGTCGTGATGATGGAGAGGGTGGGGGGGGGGGAAATCAGGAGCTCGATTTTGGAAAGGTTCAATTTGAGGAAATGGAGCGACATCCAGTCTGATATGTCGTTCAGTAGGTGGGTGATACGGGCGGAGACTGAAGGGGTGAGTTGAGGGGTGGAGAGGTAAGTTTGCATGTCATCGGCGTAGAGGTGATAGTTGAAGCCGTGGGAGTGTATAAGTTTGCCGAGGGAGGTGTAGATGAAGAAGAGAAGGGGCCCGAGGACCAAGCCTTGGGGGACCCCAAAAGAGAGGGGGAGAGAGGGGGAGGTGGTAGCATTATAGGGAACGCTGAAGGAGCATTGGGATAGATAGGAGGAGAGCCAGGAGAGAGCGGAGTCTCTGATGCCAAGGGAGTGTAGTTTGTTAAGGAGGAGGGGGTGGTCGACTGTGTTGAAGGCCGCGGAGAAGTTGAGGAGTAAGAGGACTGAGTAGTGGCCATTAGCTTTGGCAGTTAGCAGGTCATTAGTGATTTTGAGTAGGGCAGTTTCGGTGGAGTGTATGGGACGGAAGCCAGACTGTAGTGGATCGAGGAGGTTGTTGTCAGCGAGGTGGGCGCTTAGGCGATTGTAGACTAAGCGCTCAAGGAGCTTGGAAGTAAATGGCAGCAGGGAGATGGGTCTAAGGTTGTTCAGGTCAGTGGGGTCCAGGGAGGGTTTTTTGAGAATGGGGGTGATGTGCGTGTGCTTCAGGGGGGAGGGGAATGCGCCAGTAGAGAGGGAGAGATTGAAGATGTGGGTGAGGGGGCATAGGATGGAGGAGGAGGGTGACCGGAGGAGTTAATTGAAAGTAAACAGCAGAGAAGATGCTGCAAAGAATGCAAGGAATACAGGAATTTGTGGAAAGAGAATGGCCAACTGACAGGTAGAACTCACAACCTGACAGGAGATTTTACAAATAATCTTATATTGGAGTGTCAATAATAACGGTTTGTATTTCTATTACATTACTGATATTATGAAAATGAAGGCGTATCCTGTGACATTAGATCACCTAACACGAACACCAACTGGACCAATTGGGTTCGCTTGTCTTTCTTTTTTATATAGGCAGACCCGATAGGACCCTCCATTATCCTCTATGGAGTGGTGGAAGTAAAACGGACTTGTGTCCAATTACACCTGCCTACATACAATCCTATCTGATAAAAACAGACGGATGGGGACCCATTCCACATCTGTCTAACAAATCAGATGGCAGTCGGGTGTAAAAAAAAAAAATGGACAGGCAGTACATCTGACCGCCCACAGAGAACAGCAATCTGATTGCTTAGCGGGGATCAGCGGACAGATTCCACACTTAGCAACAGTGGTGTATTTAGGTTTTGTGCTGCCCTAGGCAACAAACAAATCTGATGTCCCCCCACCCCCTGGCCTTTGCCTCCCACCAGCGACAACCCCCCGCACATCACTGCCCACCCCCAGGAGAAAAAGGAGTGACTCACCGTCACTGCTCTCCGAAATCCCAGCTCCCTTCCTGGAGTCTCACGTCTAATTGTACAAGAGGTTTACAGTGCTATATAGGAGCACGTTGCAGCCCCCCTACTCTGAAGCAAAGTGATGTCTAATAAAGTAGAATTTGCAAGATCCAGACCTACGTGGATCAGACGCATTAAACTGATTATATATAAACAGATTATGTTAGCCAGTCTGGGCATCTCTTAACCGTATTGACAAACGTTACACAATATCATTACTCCAACTGTCCCTAATTCGCAACAAAATCTCTCTACCTTTCCTCCTTAGTTAACATTTTTTGTCAGAAATATAGGTTTATTAAAAAAAAAAAAAAAAAAAAACAACCCCACAAAAATGCAGCGTAACCACGAATACATTATTAAATGTATTTTTTAAATACAGGCAGTGTAAATACTTAAATCTGACACAATATCAGTCTTTAGCAGTCCCTGTACAGCAGGACTGGAGTGTGAGAGGAAGAAGCAGTTCTGGTGCTGAAAAAGAAGCATGCTGATGGTAGAAGAGAGCAGAGTGACATAAGGATGAACTCATCACTATGCTGCTTCTTTCACTGTCCAGTCACAAACTGGGTCCAGGATGACCTGGGGTCAGAGAAAGTGAGTTGAATGATGCTTGGCCATCAGACTGAGGACATCTAGTGGCAGAAAAAAGTGCTGCAGGACTGAAGCTGAACATTGCCATTGCAGCATAAGCTGTTTGTTATTTTATCTTTTAGGGTCCATGCACACTGGGCTTAAAAAAAAACAAAACAAAAAAAAAAAAACCCCCAAAAACCGCCAGTTTCATTGGCAGAAAAAAAAAAAGCTCATATAGAGCATTTTTGTACAGGAGTTTAGGAGCATTCAGTGTTTTTTCCATCAGAAAACTGCTCTCAAACACAAAACCAGGTCTTTTTTTTTCTGCCACTAAACGTGGTGATGTTGCTGGTGCCTCTAAACATCCTGTATGTGGACACATAGCATTGTGGAAGTTCAGTCAAAATTTATTCAAGGCTAAACCTACTCCCACCCTCATTCTAAATCCATTCTATCTACCCCTGTAAAGAAAAGATCTGTATACATATTTATTCTCTTAGCCGTTCTGTTCCGATCACATGATCTCTCCAGCGGTGGCTTCTGTGTAGAGCAGAGATCGCAGACAACGGCTGGAGATGTCACTCATAGGCATACTATGGGGCATCGGTTATCCCTCTGCTACATAGAAGCCGCCATGACAGCTGATCATGGGACTGGACTGGAGCGACCCAAGAATAGGCAAGTATACAGATCTTTCCTCTACAGGGTAGACAGAATGGGCCTAGAATGAGGGTGG